CGGGTCGCCAGGTTCATAGCGCAGCGCGCTAACCGCTATACTACACACACTGAGAGACAGACAGTGACACACATACAGAGAGAGAGACACAAAGAGACAGAGAGAGAGACAGAGAAAGGCAGACAGTGACACACAGAGAGACACAGAGAGACAGAGAGAGACAGAGAGAGAGACACAGATAGAGACAGAGAGACACACAGAGACACAGAGAGAGATACACAGAGAGACAGAGAGAGAGACACACAGAGACACAGAGAGAGACTCAGAGAGACAACCGCCACGGCGCTTGTGCCAGGCTATGTGCACCTTAAGGCCACGTGAAGTGTCGAACGCCCGCTGACAGGTTACAGGCGCTATGGGTTGACTGACAGAGAGAGACACAGAGAGAGGCCGTGGCTTTTCCCGTCTTTCCTCCAGTACTCAGAATTTGTTGTCGTTAAACAAACAAAAACTAAACAAACAAAAGAGCGGATTTTTTTAAATTCACGTGTTAGCAAGTTACGTCCAAAAAACGCATCGATTTGGTGGTGGTGATGATGACGACGATGATAATGATGACTGTGGAAAATTGCTTGAGAGAGAGACGTTGATTTTGTAACGTTTGGGTGGGTAACGCTTTGGTAACGTTTTCCCCGCCCAAAAAGCAAAAGAGACGCTGAGCCAGCACTGTGAAAACAGGGTGGCGAGGGGCTCCACAACAACAACAAAAACAATTACCCGCGGGTGAAAGACCGGGGAAAGCTCGTTCGTGCGCACGAATCACGATGATGGTGGTGGTTACACTGTTCGTGGTGGTTACACTCAATGGGCACGTTTTGTTGAGCGTGACAAACCTTACTAATTGGCTGTGTCGGGTGGTGGCGGGTTTAACGACACATTTGTATTTTCGCGATCTAACCCTCCCCAAATAAACCCCTCTAATTAATATTTGTCACGAAAGTCCAACTACTACTACTTAAACTCTCTTTATCTCTATTGCTCTCAGTCCCCCCCCATCACCCCCTACCCCGTGTGCTTATCCACCACCTGCTGCTGCTGGGTTTTTTTTTTGTAAGAACGCAAATAAAAATTCGAGTTACCCGCCAACAGATCGATTCTATCGTGTTGCTCCGTGGATTAATACCGCCCTTGCTTTGGCTTGGCTACCTTCGGTCCTCGATGGGGGCGCCACGGCGGCTAACTACCTCGCTTGGTACGCAGGAAGTCGTGGGTACGATCCCGACCCTGACGCCTGCTGTGTATGTGGAGTGTGCGTGTCTCTCTCCCCGTGGTTACGTGGATTTTCCTCCGTGTTCCTCCGGGGGTTTTACCCTCCACATTTAGAATCGACGTCGTGCGTTTCGAAAATTTGGCTGCTATAAATTTCCACGTGATAAGCCACTTGGTTGAGCTGTCATTTGTGGCCAGGTCGCTTCTGAAAAAGAGCTACGTAGCTCAGTGGGCCTGACCTGGTAAAAATAAAAAGTTAGATATAGGATGAGATTAGATATCTTGTGGTGGCTTGAGATTAGGGTTTCATATGGAATGCGATTAGCGGTCTGGTGTGGCATGTGGTTAAGGTTCTATATGGGATGAGCTGAGAGTTTCTGTATGGCAGATTAGGGTTCTGTATGGGATGAGCTGAGAGCTATATATAGAGAGTGAATCACGCCTTTATTTATTTCAGTGACTTGTTGGAGGCAGGACTGGTGGATCTCCAAGAGATGGGAACCACCACTGAAGCGGCAATGAAGTAGGGTCTGAAATTACAGGGAGTAGAGCAATTTTTAATAACACGCATGTTAAGAATAGTCTTAATAATATACGTGTTCATTTACAGCGTTGTATGCCTGTGAGACTTGGACATTGAAAAAAATCGGACAGAGATAACATATTGGCATTCGAAATGTATTGCTACAGAAGGACACCGCATATCTGAGCTGCACCCAAAAAATAACCCATGCAGAAGCAAGGACAAGGTTGCACGTTAAAGACCTGATGATGCAGGCCAGTGATGAGAAGCAAATTGGCACTATTTGGACACGCAATGTGTACCACGAACAACAACAAGCAAATGTTAAGTGTGTCGTTCGTATAAATCATAAGGAACCGGAAAGAGAGGAAGAGTTAACAGAGGATGGCTTCATTCGTGATTGGTGCCGGAAAGATGTAGCCACTTCTTGAGCTTCCTGGCACGAGACAGACGAAAAGTGGAAACAAATGACATTTGCAGCGGACGCCTCGGGGCCATAATGATGATGTAAGCAATTAGGTGACTTTATACAGGTGATATCCATACTTGAAACCCCAACAGATGTCGGCTATTGATTATGTGCTGGAAACAACCGCAGGTTGGGGGAGGGGGTGAGTAGACAGTGATGGTATTTGGGGATGATGGTTATTGGGTAAGTGATGGTCGTCACGGCGGTAGGTAACAGCTGATGGTGGGTTGGTAGAGAGATGTGGTGCGTGATGATGGTGATTGGTGAGTGAGGATGAAGATGATGGATCGTATTGGGTGATGATGGGGGTTGGTGGTTGATGGGTAGTACTGTAATGAGTGATGGTGATTGATGGACTATGACAGTGCTCGTATTGGGTGATTGTGATGATATAATGTGATGGTGGAGAGAGATGGGTGATGGTGTGGTACAGTGTGATGGTGGGTCGGGGATCTTTGAGATGTTGGGGCTGGAGTTGAAGGAGGGTGCAGTAGATGGGAGTAATGGTGGGGGTGGTGGTGGGAGTAGTGATGGGGGTGGTGGGGTGGTGGTGGGAGTGATGGTGGGGGTGGTGGTGATGGTGGGAGTGATGGTGGGAGTGGTCTCTATGGAGGAGGCTCGTGAAGGACGCTGCTACTGAGCAGTTGGAGGCAGTCGCCCTCCAGCAACAACGGAGGGCGGAGGAGCGACGCTCACAACAACGAGCGGAGCGCCGGGCGGCTAAGATGCAGCAAGTTTGCACAGTAAGGGGTACAGCTGGTGTGCATCTCCCAGTCATTTCAGTCAGCCAACCCATGGCACCTGCTGGGTCTGTCCCGAGACCTCCTGTCAGCGAGCCTTCGACACTTCACGTGGCCTCAAAGTGCACCCAGCCTGGCACAGGCGCCGTTGTGACGTCATCGTCACTAAGTGGCGAATGGCGGATTTCGGTCATGGTGGGAGTGTTGATGGTGGGGGTTGATGGTGGTGGGAGTGATGGTGATAGTGGGGGTTATGGTGGTGGGAGTGACCGTGGGAGTGGTGATGGTGGGGGCAGCGGTGGGAGTGGTGGCGGTTTGTGGTTGGGTGGTGGTGGGGAGTTGTGGGGGCGTAGGTGATGAGGGTGGTGAGGGTTTGGGGGGAAGGTGTTGCACATGTAAGAGAACACCTGGCACAGAAACGTTCGTACACAGCTGAGGAGGGTTTTACAAAAAAAAAGAGGTGAGCCCATCATCTTTACCATCACCTGTCGTCTTTAGAATCATCAAGCCAAGTTTGTCTGAAGTGTTTTCTTCCTTTAAATCAGGTAAGTGGATTTGTTTTGTTTCCATCTTTGTTGAGTTTTTAGATACATGCCGCATTGTATTTTTGGTGCTTTCGTGGTAATAGTGTCCCTTGTTCACCCAGCAAAGCCGTGATGAGTTGACTAGCAAGCCACCGGTGCTATATGCTGCACTTTAAAATAATCTAGGATTCTAGGATTTAAAACTAACTTCTCTAGAACCGCTTTTTGTGTTGCCGCACCGCCGAATTAGCCCGGTTGCCGACGTGCGGTGCGAAAAAGTTCAACATGCGTTCATGCAAGACTCGTTTTGTTTTAACGAGAGCGCTCCTTCTATTGAGATGTTTGGTCCAAGTCCCTTTAACAAAAAGATAACGACAAGTGGTTGCGTTTCGTGTGGGAGGACACGAGAGAGCCCGGAGTAAACTCAAAGGCAAAGAGAAATATCCCCCGTATAGTCTTAACAGACTATAGGGGAAAGTGCTGTTCGCGAGCACTTATGAAGGCTGGCACTGTGGCACACGAGCGGGTGGGTGGCCAGCACCACGCCCGGCCGCCTTTGTCTCCGGGGTGGCGATGTTTAACATACCGCACCAGGTACTCATTTGAGGCTGAGTCGACCTAGAGGAGGCCCACGAATCGGCTCAGATAAGCGTCACCGGTGTTCGAACCCAGGTGGCCAGGTTCGTAGCGCAGCACGCTCACCGCTACCCGACCGCTCCCCACTCATAGCACGTACACACGTGCACATACACCACTGCAGGGGGGGGGGGGGGGGGGGGTCACGAAGCCCACTTTCTGTACTGCATTGCGAACGTTTTCAACACAACATGTGCGGTTGGCAGCAGATTCACGGATTGTTGCAAGCACCTGCGTTTCTCCGCTTTTCGATTTCTTCCGACGATCAGGTCACGCATCTCGCACAAAACAAAAGAAAAATCCGCCCGCCCGCCACCCCTTCGATCGAACGTCTCAAAAGTGGCCAGAAACCCTCCACGGAAAACGAATCACGAGACTCCTGGGTGCAATGAAGGAACGTTCCCTGTGGCTGTTAGGACGTTGCCCCGGGGTTCTCGTTGGCACTCCCTGGAAAAGGGGGATCAACGTGTCGCGGCACCCCCCGAAGAGAAGCCAGCGGGACTCGGCGAGGCTTCCCTGGGGGGTACAAATAGGAAGCCATGCAAAGCGGTGGCCTGAGCACCCCGTCACGCTTGAGGGAGCCTGGTTTCATTTGGCGGCGAGGTGGCCACAGGTGTGGCAACGCTTGTGCCTCATGGCGAGAAGTTCCTAGGTTCGACTCCTGACTGGGGGCACCTTTCTGCGTGGAGTGTGAACCATTCTCCCCCATTCTCAGCGTGGGGTTTCCTCCGGGGTCTCCAGTTTGCACCCCCCCCCCCCCGTAAACGATTAATTGAAGACTCCGTGAGGCCTGCCTGCGGGTTAAACAAGCAGAAAACAACCCCCCCCCCCCCCCCCCCCCCCCCCCCCCCCAGTGAGCTGCAACTCAAGACTCGAACCCAGGCTTTCGGAGGTGCGAGCTCACTATCTCTTCGCACGCGGCCAACCTCCTTTTTTAAACTTCATTCCGATATCCATTCCGGTCTTTTATGTTGTTGCAGGTTCTCCTGACCAGCGCCGCTGTTTAGCAGTGACACCCTCCCCCCTTCCCCCCAATGCCTCTGAGATCGAGCACGCGGGGCCGTGGGCCTCCAAGCCATGACCCCGTGCCCCCAGACCAACTCCAGGCCCTCTGCTCAAGTGACGGCAGCGAGGACCTGAGACCGGCGATGAAGAGGAGGAGGAGGCGAAGGAAGAGGAGACCGGCAATGGCGGCAATGGCGGCGGCGGCTGCGACGGACACAGAGCCGGTGGTGAAACGGCCGCAGCGTCGGAACAGAGACGGGGTCGGGGATGAGCCGCCGGCCGTGGGGTCACGGTCACGATCGGGGTCACAGTCGGGCTCAGGCTCGGGGGACTCCGAGAGCTCTGTGCGGCCGCGGCCTGCCTCGCGAGGGGACACCAGAGACGAGAGGACGCTGAGGCGGTTGGAGAGCAACGAGAGGGAGCGCCAGAGGATGCACGGCCTCAACGACGCCTTCCAGGGCCTGCGCGAGGCCATCCCGCACGTCCGCCGCGGACGCAAGCTGTCCAAGTTGGAGACCCTGACCCTGGCGAAGAACTACATTGAGGCGCTCACCGGGGTGATCGGGCGTCTGGCCGACGGGGAACGAAGGTTGGAGCAGCTTGTGGAGCAGCAGCAACAGCAGCAGGACCAGCAGGAGGAGCAGGAGGAGCAGCGAGGTGCAGAGGGAGACCCCGTGACGAGCGTCCCCGTTAGAGGAGTCCCAGTAAACGGGTTTCCAGTGAATGGGGTCTCGGGGAGAGGAGTCCCAGCGAGAGAGGTCCCAGTTTCTGGCCATTTTCGTCGCAAACAGCTGCGGCGCCCGTGCATCGGGAAGTAGGGCCCAGGGGTCACGGTGGCTCTCTCCGCGTGGGCAAGGAGATGGGGGGGGGCCTTGACTTGGTGATCTTCAGCATCTATATCGTCGTCATCGTCTTACTCTTGGAGGTGGTGAAATGAGCGCCGAGGTTACAAACCCTGGTGGTGGAGAGGTGGGGGGTGGGAAGGAATTGAACAGTGAGTTGCACTCCTGTGGATAGACTGGTCCCCGTCATAGCAACGTGAAAGTTCCACCGTTCGATTGGTCTAAGCTCATTTTAGCGCGGAAACACTGACTTGGGTGTATGCTGCGTAAATCGATAATGATCAAAGTAGGGGTTTAAAACAATAATAGGCTTTAGCCTTTCCAGCAATCATACAGGCGTTAAGATGTTCAAAATGGTCCCATAGGTAAGGTAGGGGTTACCAGTGTGGTGTGCCTGTGTGCGTGACAACTGGGTTTACACCGCGTAGATTGGAGGTTCGGAATAGAATGGGTGAGGAAGGCGTTGTGGATGTAATCAGGAAGAGGAGGCTGTTATAGGCGTAACGTGTGGAGTGGAAGAGGACACGGGGAAGTAACTTGGAGGTTCTGCATAGAGGAGGGCTGGTGACCGAGAAAGCCATTGGAGTGGCACCCAGGGGTCGGTGACCACGGGGAAGGCCTAGAGGAGCCATGTGATGGTGGCGATGTTGAGCTTGAGCACTCCTTGAAGGACCTGTCAACCCTCTTAGAAACGCGAAGACGTAAAGCGAGAGCGACGTTGTGGCGATGATTATGGCAGTGCGAGAGCGGTGCTTGCTGACCTGCCCTCACTGGACATCTGTGAAAGAGAGCTCCATAGCCGATTCCTCCAGGACGAATAAACCGCCTGCTTCTGTGTCGCCTGCGGAAGAAGAGGGCCACTCTGAGGCGTGCGGTGACGACAATGTCGAGATCGTGACAGCGGTCCTTGAGGGACATGTCCCGTGTGGAACAAAGAGGAACACCTCAAGCCAGGCTGTGGTGGCGACGAGACTCAGGCCAACCGTTGGGGGAAGGTCTATCGTCGACATCACGACACCGGAAGGATCTGGCAGAAAGAAGGAAGCGATGGCGACGTTGGATGGTATGCAGGGTCGCTTTGACCTGGACTTTCGGTTCTGTGACCCACGTGTATATTAGGTGAACTGAAGTGAAATTTTTTTAATTTTGTGTAAAATTTCACTTTGCTGCATCTCAGACGAGAGACGTAAAATGTGCGGGTTCTGAATCTAACGAGTGATGTTGCCGAAGACAGCGTTTAATTACGAATGTTTATTAACGATGAAGGCCATGCTAATGAGAATGATCGTGGTGATTTGGGGTTTGGTTATTATGTGAAATACCATAATAAAGAACACACACTTGATGATGAAAGATATTGACCATGCTACTAAAGATGAGGTGTATTAAAGACCATGCTACACTGCCGATTAAGCAGTAAGGAGTCAAAATGAGTTATTGGTTCAAATTACCAAATTAGTCGGTGTTTATTTATTAATTACACCTCTGGTCCACTGGAGGAAAATCCACATTCCTATGGCAGATGGGCGAGTGCATCCATAAGACAAACCAACTGTTGACTTCCCCACAAAGTGTTACGCATTGTATCGACCCCCCCTGATGGAGAGATGATTGGTTGAGCCAACACACACGCCCCAATCAGGATTTTAACTCCACTCAAACCTCCGATTGTGAGCTACTCACTCTACCGTCGAGTCACGTGGCCGGTAAAATTAATGTTTTTCTGTATTGATGCTCAACGATAACCGAATATTAATTATATGCCAGCAATAATCATGCGCGTGATTGCAGCGCAGCAAGTATGTGTGATAGCGCTCCTTCCCATCACCCCCACAACACCGTAACTTAGAGCGGTTTATGTTTTTTTTGTCACGAATCAAACATCTGCCAGAGTTCACATCGTGACGCGGGAGGTTTTTTTGTTGTTCTAATCATTAACCCGGGCAGGGAGCCACCAGCCGCACAGCTACTGGGTTTTCCCTCCACATTTAGAAACGTGCGTTTAAGGGGCCGTCCATAAATGACGTCACGCGATTTTTGACGATTTTTGACCCCCCCCCCCTCGTCACAAGGCGTCACAAAAAGTCAGACCCCCCTCAAATATGACGTCACAAAGCTCTGCCCTCCCCCCTCCCCAATAAATAAAACATGCTTCAAATCGCTTTAAACTATTGTCATTGTAGTGCGTATTTAATGTGGCGCTGCACTCTGATGTTGTAGGATTAATTTATTAAGAAGTCTATTTAATTAAGCAGAACGTGTTGTCTTTATTTATTTAAAGTTGCGAATTTTGATGTGACGTCACATTTCTCAACCCCCCCCCCCTCGTCACACATCGTCACAATTGACCCCCTCCCTAAGTGCGTGACGTCATTTATGGACGGCCCCTTAAGGGTAATTAGGTCGCTGTAAATGTCCCCGGTGATAAGCCACTTCGTCGCAACTATCATTTGTGGCCAGGTGGCTTCTGGAAAACTGAACAATTTTAATTTGACCAGGTAAGGGCCCACTGAGCTACGGCCACCACCAACGATAACTCAACCAAGTGGCTTTTATTGGCAGCCAAATACCCTACATGCGGAGGGAGGACCCCGATAAAAATCCACGCGACCACGGGCAGAGAGAGAGAGACACACACACACGCACACCGCAAACTCCACGTACACAGTAGCAGGTGTCAGGGTCGGGATCGAAACCCACGACATCCTGCACACCAGGCGAGGTAGTTAACATCTCCTAGCCGCCGTGGCGCCCGAAGTCTTTTCTCCCCTTGTGATGGCGACTTTGTATTGGTGAACTTTTGAGATTTATCAGGGGCACGGGCTGACCAATAAGGTCTGAATTGGTCTGTAAATAAGGTAGGGGCACTGATAAGGGGTGGACGGGTTTGCAATTATCGATCCACTGCTGGATGAAGGCTCCGCTAAACGGATCTCGCGCTTGCGCGCGCGCACACACGGATAATAAATAAATAAATAACGATCGATTCGATCTCGCGCGCGCGATTCAATTCACGGTCTGATTAGCGTTATTAATCGATTATTTTGTCCAGCGGTGAATCATTCGATTAACGTATTGAATAACGTTAGGGGATGGGGGGAATCGGATATCGCGTAATTCCCACGGTACGGAATCGATCCACAACCCCCATTCGTACAGTCGGAGCGCGCTCACAGCTGCGCTTAATTAGTGACGGACCACGTGACCCCAGCGTCATGTGACTGCGGTGACGTCATCTCCGGAATGGGGGAGGGGTGAGTGGGGGGAGGAGGAGTGAGTTGAGGGGAGGAGGGGTGAGTGGGGAGGAGGGGAATGGGTTAGTGGGGGGGGTGAGTGAGTGGGGGGGAGGAGGGGGATGGGGGGAGTGGGGGGATGGGGGGAGTAGCGGGGAGGAGTGAGTTGGGGGGAGGACGGGTGGGGGGGATGAGGAGGGGGGAGTGGGGGGAGGAGGGGTGAGTGGGGGGGGGTGAGTGGGGGGGAGGAGGGGGATGGGGGGAGTATGGGGGAGGGATGAGTTGGGGGGAGGAGGGGTGAGTGGGGGGGGATGAGGAGAGGGGAGTGGGGTGAGTGGGGGGAGGAGGGGGGAAGGGGGGCTCATTGTTGACATCAAAACCGTGGGGCTGCTCCCAGCTACGGGAGCTGTTGTTGGTGCTCCATCTCTGTCCACTGCTAGCTTGCCGCTCTTCCTCCTGGTCCCGGCTACAGCTTGGGAGGAGGGTTGGGGGGAAAGCGCGAGGAGAGGCGACACAGCTGTGATACAGCCGGGCCAGCCTTCACACGCTGCTGCTGCTGTGGCCTACGACAACACTTGGGCTAGCTAAGAGGTAGGTTGTGGCTGGCTGTCTGAGTGTCTGGCTGTTACTTTGGGCCTGGGGCTACGGCTGGGACACAGCAACCCGTGCTGGGTGCGGGTACAGGGGGCACCCACAGATGGATGTTTGTCAATGCGACTACGATAGCTGTAGCTGCTGTAGCTGTTGCTGCTGTAGCTGCTGTAGCTGCTGCTGTAGCTGTTGCTGCTGCTGTAGCTGCTGCTGTAGCTGCTGCTCCGGGGGGCTATTGTGGCGACACTGATCGACGTACGGGCTACAGCAGGCCTGGCGAATTACTGCCGCTGCTGCTGTTGTCGCTCTAGGCTACAACTTGCTGGTGTCTTGGTAATGGTAACTTATCATCAGGCTGGGCTACAGATGATAGTCTTGGTAATGGTAACTTATCATCAGGCTGGGCTACAACTTGCTGGTGTCTTGGTAATGGTAACTTATCATCAGGCTGGGCTACAGATGATAGTCTTGGTAATGGTAACTTATCATCAGGCTGGGCTACAGCTGCTGATGTTTTGTAATGGTAACTTATCATCAGGCTGGGCTACAGATGATAGTCTTGGTAATGGTAACTTATCATCAGGCTGGGCTACAGATGATAGTCTTGGTAATGGTAACTTATCATCAGGCTGCGCTACAGATGATAGTCTTGGTAATGGTAACTTATCATCAGGCTGGGCTACAGATGATAGTCTTGGTAATGGTAACTTATCATCAGGCTGGGCTATAGCTGCTGGTGTCTTGGTAATGGTAACTTATCATCAGGCTGGGCTATAGCTGCTGATGTCTTGGTAATGGTAACTTATCATCAGGCTGGGCTACAACTTGCTGGTGTCTTGGTAATGGTAACTTATCATCAGGCTGGGCTAGAGCTGCTGGTGTCTTGGTAATGGTAACTTATCATCAGGCTGGGCTACAGATTATAGTCTTGGTAATGGTAACTTATCATCAGGCTGGGCTACAGCTTGCTGGTGTCTTGGTAATGGTAACTTATCATCGGACTGGACTAATAGCAATTCTCTGAACCGGTCCTGGGTCTCCCCTAGGTCGACTCGGCCTCAATTGAGTAGCCGGTGTACCGGTGTGTCGTGAACATCGCCACTGGGGGAGACAAAGGCGGCCCGGGAGTGGTTTCTGCCCACCCACCCCCTCTGTGTGTGCCACAGTGCCGGTGGCCTTCATAGGCGCTTCTCGCTATAACAGCACTTGCCCCAACCAGTGTGTGAAGGCTACACGGGGGATATTTGTCTTTGTAGCCGCTATCACAGGCTCCTGGCAGCAGCAGCAGCTGTGATTGTAGATTCTGGTTAATTGTTCTAGATTGGAGCTGGGTACAAGCTGGTCGTGGCCCACTGCCTTTCTTTACACGCTTTCATTTAACTCACTCTGTCTGTTGTTGTATCCTCAAATCTTGTAACTTAATTTTAACCCACTTCCCAATGTGCTATCGACTACAAACTTGGTATACTTATGTCATACTGATGACAATACTATATTGTATCATAAAACATTTTTTACATTATTTTTTATATGTTATGTTTCGCCTTGGGTCTAATTGTCCACGCTCAATTCACGTTGGCTGTAAATCACCACGTTGTGGCAAGCTTCGGGGCCACTTCCTGGAGTCGTGGAGTTCTTCCATTACCAGTACGGTACATTTCATTAAAGCGTGTTTAAAAAAAAAACGTTTAAAAAAATATTACTTATTTTTAAAAAAAGGCGTTTTGCCCTGCCAAAGGCTGAAGGAGGCAGGAGAACGCCGTCGTTGTGGGATCGCGTACGATATAAACGTTGTGTCGCTAAACCCGCCACCACCCGACACAGGCAATCAGCAAGGTTTGTCACGTCAACAAAACGGGTGCCAATTCGTTACTGCAGAGCGTAAACAACCCCCCCAACACACCGGCGTGCTGAACTAGTAACGAATTGGCACCCGTTTTGTTTACTTGAACATTGCGAATTGGATGTGTCGGGTGGTGGCGGGTTTAACGACACAACAGTTATATTTACGCCCCACCTCTTATGGATAATATTGGCCTCGAAAGCCCAGCTACTTAGTCCCACGCGTTACACTGATGGGCGTTGTTTGTAAAGTCGTCTTGAGTTTGGTTCAACTCGTCCAGTTTTGTGTTGCCGCCCCGGTGCACAGAAAGCGTCGCCTCAAAACGAACAACAACATCAACAACAACAACATCGACAACAACATCGACGACATCATCGACGACGGTCGTCGCTGCTGGGGACAAGCGGATTGATTGAAGGTTGTGCAAGGAAGCGAGGAGAGAGACCGTCTTCTCGGGCACTTTAATTCACAGCAGCAGCAGCAGCATCATCATCGTGGCGTTAGCGAGGGAGTGAGTTTCGAGGTTGAGCATCATCATCAGCAGCACCGCTGTGCCCACCACCACCACCGTCTTCGTGGCGCGCGTGGGGAAACCACGCAGGCGATTTACAACGTCGAGGAACTGTTAAACAATTTGAAGGGCCGCTTCAACATCAACAAACACCAACGTGCGAAAACTACACAACAACAACCATCAACAGCCGAAAGTCAACAACAACTGCTAACTACATCATCGACACCGTCAACAATAAACCAGCAGCAGTAACAAGAACAACAAAAGTCGACGACGACTTCTACACAAACTGCAAGAACTTCATTATCAACAAGAAGATCGACTTACACCATCGTCACCACCACCACCACCATCAACAACCACCTGATCAACACCACCATCGCCATCAATCTGCATAGACTTTAATCCGAGTACCGTGGTACATTGTAAACACACACTCGCACACACGCACACAAAGACGAGTTGTCAACCTTACACCACCACCAGCGTCGTTTGGCGAGCCGCTCCTCGCGGCGGCAGGGAAGGAGCGAGCAATGGAGAGCTCGAAGCCACTGCTGGATGAGAGACCCCCTCCTTACACGCCTGGTCCCGTGGGAGAAGGAGGGGGACCACCACCACCACCAGGGTACCACCCCGGTGGTGGTGGTGGTGGTGGCGGCGGCTATGGCACCATGCAGCCCGCACCACAACAGTACCAACCCCGAGGCCACCCCTACCAACAACAACAACAACATCATCAGCCGCAGTTCCAGCAGCAGTATCAACCACAGCACCATGCAGGTGAGCGATGGAGAGGGGAAGACGAGTGGAGTGTTTGGCCACTGCTATAACATTGCCGCGTGACGGTCCGCCAACTTCGTTGACCTTATCGTGTGTGGCCAGGTCGCTTCTGATAAAAGAGCCATGCGACTCAGCGGAAGGGGCCTAACCTGGAAAACAAATATACAACAACAAAAATAGCAGTGGTGGAGCGTGCTGCTGTCAAATCCACTGCTGGATGACGGATGGGGCTTCGTCCCGCACTCCTTGCCAAGTTGCCAGGGATAAGATATTCCAACTTTGTAGCCAACGTTGGAATCTGGTTTGGCACGTGGTTGCAATTTGGTTGGAACCGTTCGTTGCGCCAACGTTTGTCCGTCGTTATTTGTTTATACATACTGGGTTTGGGTGGGGTGGTTTAACCATATGGGCGCCGCGGTGGCTTGATGTTAACTACCTCGCCTGGTACACAGGAGGTCGTGGGGTTTCATCCCGACCCCTGACAACCTGCTGCTGTATATTTGGAGTTTGTAGGTCTATCTGTCTCTCTCTCTCTCTGCCCCCGTGGGTCGTGTAAGGATTTTCTCAGAGCCTTCCGGTTTTCCCCTCCACATTTAGAATCAAACCGTCCGTTTGGAGTGTTTTTTTGCTGCTATAAATGTTCACGTGATGATAAGCCACTAAGTTGAGCTGTCATCGCGTGTGGCCCTTACCTGGTAAAAAACAAAACAACAACTAGTTTAGTATTTAGTTTATTTGACCACCCTGGGTTGGTAGAGGCAGGGAGCCATGGACGTTGGAAGACAGTACAGTAAAAGTGGTTTTCTGTGCTGCCATCTGCTGACAATGGACTCCGGCCACGTGTTTGACAGGGCAGTTAGTGGTCCAGAAGTCTTGTAACCCCCGTTTAATTACCTCAAACCTCACAATTGTTACGGTTTATTTAAACACAGAAATTAATATGCAAAGGGAGGTTTTTTTTTTTTAGCAGAGGTCAATTAATTGCCGGTCGCAAAACATCTGGACCACCCTGTACTCTGGCATTGGAGTTGTGGCAATGAGATGCCTCATCTCGCCCCCGTCATGGGAACGTGGTATTGCCACCGCTGGCTCAGGGCACAGTGTGAGAAGCGGAGTTGTGATTGTGTGTGCGCCACACGGCACACCTGTAACGCACGCATCTCCCTCCGTGAGAGATGGTGACCGCTGCTTCCAGCGGTGGATCGATCGTGGCTTATGATGTAAGCACATGACGTGAGGTTGCGAGGTTTGTTTGAACAACGTCGGGGTTGACGATTGACCCCCGGGTCAGGGTATTGATAACTAGGTTTAGGCATAAACCCATCGAAATTCTATTAAGTCCTGACCATAAATCCATCCCACCACGAGCTGAAACCGGGCACAGATTTGGACTGGGTTTACCTCTGGCCTGAACCCTAACAGGAGGTTAACCTGGTTTATATCTTTCTCTACACCTGGGTCTGTGTGCTCAGCTTATATGTGTTCGTGTGCAAGTCTACACATGTTTACAATTTTTGCGTACCTGTGTGTGTTCACACCTGTAGGCCTGTCTGTGTTCACACGTGTATACCTGTGTGTACCTGTATTTGTGTTCACATTCGTATATCTGTACAGATCTACATGTATGTGTTCACACCTGTGTGTACCTGTGGGTGTGTTCATATGCGTATACTTGTGTGTGTGTTCACACCTGTACACCTGTGTGTGTGTGTGTCCTCACACCCGTACACCTGTGTGTGTGTGCTCACACCCGTACACCAGTGTGTGTGTGTGTGTGCTCACACCTGTACACCTGTGTGTGTGTGTGTTCACACCTGTACACCTGTGTGTGTGTGTGCTCACACCCGTACACCAGTGTGTGTGTGTGTGTTCACACCTGTACACCTGTGTGCGTGTGTGCTCACACCCGTACACCTGTGTGTGTGTGTGTTCACACCTGTACACCTGTGTGTGTGTGCTCACACCCGTACACCTGTGTGTGTGTGCTCACACCCGTACACCAGTGTGTGTGTGTTCACACCTGTACACCTGTGTGTGTGTGTGTTCACACCCGTACACCTGTGTGTGTGTGTGCTCACACCCGTACACCTGTGTGTGTGTGTTCACACCCGTACACCTGTGTGTGTGTGTGCTCACACCCGTACACCTGTGTTTGTGTGCTCACACCCGTACACCTGTGTGTGTGTGCTCACACCTGTACACCTGTGTGTGTGTGTGTGTTCACACCCGTACACCTGTGTGTGTGTGTGTTCACACCCGTACACCTGTGTGTGTGTGTGTTCACACCCGTACACCTGTGTGTGTGTGCTCACACCCGTACACCTGTGTGTGTGTGTGCTCACACCCGTACACCTGTGTGTGTGTGTGTGCGTACACCTGTGTGTGTGTGTGCGTACACCTGTGTGTGTGTGTGCGTACACCTGTGTGTGTGTGCTCACACCCGTACACCTGTGTGTGTGCTCACACCCGTACACCTGTGTGTGTGTGTGCTCACACCCGTACACCAGTGTGTGTGTGTTCACACCCGTACACCTGTGTGTGTGTGCTCACACCCGTACACCTGTGTGTGTGTGCTCACACCCGTACACCTGTGTGTGTGTGCTCACACCCGTACACCTGTGTGTGTGTGCTCACACCCGTACACCTGTGTGTTTGTGTGTGCTCACACCCGTACACCTGTGTGTTTGTGTGTGCTCACACCCGTACACCTGTGTGTTTGTGTGTGCTCACACCCGTACACCTGTGTGTTTGTGTGTGCTCAGTGTTCACACCTGTACACCTGTGTGTGTGTGCTCACACCCGTACACCTGTGTTTGTGTGTGCTCACACCCGTACACCTGTGTGTGCGTGTCCTGCAGGGTACACTGTGATTGCCCCTGCGGGGTACGCGGGGGCCTACCCCACCGTGGTGCAGCCAGACTCCTCGCTCATGCAGCCCCCTATCACCTCCGTGCTCGTTGTGGGGGGCTGCCCCGCGTGCAGGTACGGGGGGGGGGGGGGTCTGCACCCCAGAGGGTCCCCTCACACCAGGGGGCCATCACGTCACATACACCTCACCCCGTGTACCCCACAAACCTATTAGACCAGGTCCCTTATCAGACCACATCACCACCTATACGACCAGGTTCTCAGCAAAACAGATTTCCTTTTCGACCAGGTCTCCCTATCAGACCAGGTCCTCTGCCAGACCAGGTCTCCCTATCAGACCAGGTCTCCCTATCAGACCAGGTCTCCCTATCAGACCAGGTCTCCCTATCAGACCAGGTCTCCCTATCAGACCAAGTCCTCTGCCAGACCAGGTCTCAATATCAGACCAAGTCCTCTGCCAGACCAGGCCTCCCTATCAGACCAGGTCCTCTGCCATACCAGGTCTCCCTATCAGACCAGGTCCTCTGCCAGACCAGGTCTCCCTATCAGACCAGGTCCTCTGCCATACCAGGTCTCCCTAACAAACCAGGTCCTCTGCCAGACCAGGTCTCCCTATCAGACCAGGTCCTCTGCCATACCAGGTCTCCCTATCAGACCAGGTCCTCTGCCAGACCAGGTCTCCCTATCAGACCAGGTCCTCTGCCAGACCAGGTCTCCCTATCAGACCAGGTCCTCTGCCAGACCAGGTCTCCCTGCCAGACCAGGTCTCCCTGCCAGACCAGGTCCTCTGCCAGACCAGGTCTCCCTATCAGACCAGGTCTCCCTATCAGACCAGGGATCCCTATCAGACCAGGTCTCCCTATCAGACCAGGTCCTCTGCCAGACCAGGTCTCTCGAACAGACCAGGTCCTCTGCCACACCAGGTCTCTCGAACAGATCAGATAACCACCTATTAGACCAGGTCTCCCTATCAGACCAGGTCTCCCTATCAGACCAGGTCCTCTGCCAGACCAGGTCTCTCGAACAGACCAGATAACCACCTATTAGACCAGGTCCTCTGCCAGACCAGGTCTCTCGAACAGACCAGATAACCACCTATTAGACCAGGTCTCCCTATCAGACCAGGTCTCCCTATCAGACCAGGTCCTCTGCCAGACCAGGTCTCTCGAACAAACCAGATAACCACTTATTAGACCAGGTCCTCTGCCAGACCAGGTCTTTCGAACAGACCAGGTCTCCCTATCAGACCAGGCCCTCTGCCAGACCAGGTCTCTCGAACAGACCAGATAACCACCTATCAGACCAGGTCTCCCTATCAGACCAGGCCCTCTGCTAGACCAGGTCTCTCGAACAGACCAGATAACCACCTATTAGACCAGGTCTCCCTATCAGACCAGGTTTCCCTATCAGACCAGGCCCTCTGCTAGACCAGGTCTCTCGAACAGGCCAGATAACCACCTGTTAGACCAGGCCCTCTGCCAGACCAGGTCTCTCGAACAGACCAGATATCCACCTATTAGACCAGGTCTCCCTATCAGACCAGGTCTCCCTAACAGACCAGATAACCACCTATCAGACCAGGTCTCCCTATCAGACCAGGTCTCTCGAACAGACCAGGTAACCACCTATTAGACCAGGTCTCTCGAACAGACCAGGTAACCACCTATTAGACCAGGTCTTCCTATCAGACCAGGTCTCTCGAACAGACCAGATAACCACCTATCAGACCAAGTCTCTCGAACAGACCAGGTAACCACCTATTAGACCAGGTCTCCCTAACAGACCAGATAACCACCTATCAGACCAGGTCTCCCTATCAGACCAGGTCTCTCGAACAGACCAGGTAACCACCTATTAGACCAGGTCTCTCGAACAGACCAGGTCACCACCTATCAGACCAGGTCTCCCTATCAGACCAGGTCTCTCGAACAGACCAGATAACCACCTATTAGACCAGGTCTCTCGAACAGACCAGATAACCACCTATTAGACCAGGGTCATTTCTGAAATTGGGCTTGGCGACATAATCGACCATGTGGTTGAAAATGACCTCGGGTCAGATTCCACCCAGTGCTACTCTCACACCGGGTCCCTGAGTCGCTGTCCTGAAGACCTCGAGATAGTTGACTGACGGTCGGTCAGAACCAGAATGAGACAATTTATTCATACTGGAGGAATCCGATGAGCTATGAAGCTCTTTTTCACGGGTGTCCAGTAAGGACAGGTCAGAATGTTCCAACAACAACAAACAATACAAAAACACGATAGGAGTGCAAAGTATAGGGAAGGTAAATAATCACTGAAAAAATATATACAAAAAAAACTAAACTTTCTATCTTACCAGGTAAAGCCCACTGAGCTATTAGGTTGATGATGGCATTCGTTGTGACTAGCAGGAACCCGCAGAAAGAAGTTCTGCTGTAAAAGGATGTCGAATATGTACATAGGCTCACTCCATATCTCACGTGACGCAATCACCCCTCTGCTGATACTCGCCAATGTCGTGTGACGTCACTCCTTCCCTCTCCACCTTCTCGTGACGTCATCAAGCCCTTCCCCTTGCATCACCCCACTCTCGCGTGACATCACCCCGGTGCGTTACAGACAGACACAAAGACAAATATTCCCTGTGTAGCCTTAACAGACTTGGGGCAAATGCGGTCAGCAAGCACCTATGAAGGCCGGCACGGCACATGAGGGGGTTGGGTGGCCAGCACCACGCTCGGCCGCCTTTGTCTCCCTAGCGGCAATGTTTACACACCGCACCAGGTACTCATTTGAGGCTGAGTCGACCTAGGGGAGGCCCAGGACCGGTTCAGATAATCGTCACCGGTGTTGGCCATGAGCGGGAATGGAACCCGTGTCGCCGGGTTGGTAGCGTAGCGCACTAACCGCTACACCACCGCTCCCCACAGACAGACACACGCACGAACAAGCGTATGATTATTATTATATAGATTTCTCACTGAACAGAGTGGACCACGTGAAAGCTGCCACCTTATCTGGCTCATCTTCAGCCCACAGTCACTGTCGAGTTGTTACTCAGCGTCAACATGATCCACAAGGAAGCAGGAGGAGGAGACCAAGGTCCCTTTTCCACTGCTTTATTTCAAATAAGTGCCATTTGTAGAAGGGCTGTTTAGAAATTCACCACGATGGATGTCAACTTGTGGATTGTTGGCCACGTTTTTGTTTTATGTTATTCGATAACTGAATGTGTACACTTGTATTAAGCCTCTTTAAACTGGCCTTCACCCGCCGGTTCTGGCCGTTCACTCCTGTTGTGTTTATTTCCTGACTTCCGTACATGGTGGCGCATTGGGATCTACGGACGAAATGCACCTTTCAAATGTTTATTATTATAACATCGCCTCCGATCAGCACGGTTGACAAACGTACGGTGTTGCGAAAGAGGTTCAACATGCAAGCGTACATTTTGACGTTCTTTACGTTTTGTCAAATAACCGCACGTAGCTATACAGTGCAGTGAATTAGTGTGGAGCCCAAATGAGCCGAATGTGACTCGCGCTGTCCAATTACCGACGGCTCTGACGGCCGGTAACGAGGACGCCCGCTGGTAATGCGACACGTGGGCCACAGCGTGCGGTGCCGGTGGTCAGACACCATGGGGGTGGTGGAGGGTTGGGGGGGACGGGTTTGCGCAATCCGCGCTCCTTTTAATTTTGGCCCTGAGCGATATCGGCAGGACGGGGGTCGCTCAGGCACCGATCCTTCACTCGTCCTGAGTGGCGAGTGAACCTCCCAAACAAGCGCAGACATGCCCCAGGTGGCTGTCTGCGCCCGCACGTAAGGTCGCGCTCATTACACACAGTGTGATTGCCACATGAACCATAAAACCTTTGCTGACACTGTCAAGGAACAAAAAAACATCACTCCAATATCCTCGCAGCAGCGGCTTTTTTGGCTGAGCCATCGAACGGTCACCGCGTTGCACGCGTTCAGATGCGCTTTTGCGGCCGTCTGGAACGCTCTTCCAATATTAGAAAGCCACTGGAGCTATGCACTTTTAAACATAGATTGAAAACTAACTTCTTTAGAATTGCTTTTTATGTTTAGTTTGTTGTCCTTCCCCAGCACCTCCAGTTAGCACGATTGGCTACATACGGTGGGAGAGAAGTTCAACGATATGCATACATACAGCATACGTACGTACGTACGTGTGTTTGTGACATCTGTCCCTCTGGCTTGTCGTTGGTGGCGGTGGTGGTGGTGTCCCAGCCGTAGCTGTAATTTCGCGTGGGTGCTCTGGCCAACCCCGGGCTGTGCGCCTGGGAAGAGTCGTCGGTCCTCGTGCTCTGCACTGCGTCGTCGCGGTGCGCTGTAACATCGGTTTATGATCTCGGTGTGATCCACCAACCTCCCTACCTGCAGAGCTAACCTCGCTCGGAGGAGAACATGTTTCGGGGGAACAAATGCACATGTTAAGGACATTCAGAGGTCTTTGGGCAGGACACGTCGATAAAATGGATGATCGAATCTAATTTATGCTTATTTATATAGAGCGGCCTTTACACAAGGCGCTCTGACGTAGCTTACAAAGCGGTGACACAGAAAGGAATGGTGTAGATGGCAGGGGCGTGTTACAAGGATTGAGAAATGAGTGACAGCGATAGAGGGGTACTTGGGGATCACGAAAGGGTAGGGGAGGGTTGGAAAGGAGTGGAAGGGCGAGAGGAGGGAGGAGGGAGGGAATGGGCGATGCATAAGAGGTTTTAATAGAGGATCAGAAGGAGCTTGAGGGGGACTGCTCCATGTACAGGGGAAGTGTTGAGTATGGCACAGTTTTGAATCTATGGGCAGTGTTGAGTCAATGGGCAGCGGTGCTTAATTAGTGTTTAGTGACATCGCTGGATGTCACCATGCTGTGGGTGCAGTGCCGGCCCTAGAGGGGTACGGTGTGTGGGTCGTGTGAGGCCATGGCACTCTGGTTGACCCGGGAGGACACGTGACCGACTAAGATGACAGAGGGGCCCCCAAGAGGGGGCTTAGGGGGATACGTGATAGGGACCCAGGTCCTTCTCGATGGTTCTGGAAGGTGGGCGTGGCCAAGGGCGGAGCCGGCCACGCCGTAGAGAATATTCAGTAGGGTCCCGACAGGGACCGGGGTTGTTCATCCTGGGAAAAGAACCCTACGCCTACGATCTACGTTCTACGAGTCTTCCAGCACGTGGACCCGGGCAGATGCTGTTGGTCCCGGGTCCGTAGTAACAGTTACGTGGTAACTCCGTAGTAACAGTTACGTGGTAACTCCGTAGTAACAGTTACGTGGTAGTTAGCCAGGTGGTCACCACCCGAAGTTGTTATTCTGTTAAGGAGAAGTTACTCCGTGTGTTGGAACTAAATCAATGCGCTGCCTCCAAGGGCTACGTCTGCGACTCGGTTGAACCCACTACAGATGTGCAAGGGAAGTTGAATCCAGTGGAGGGGTGCAAGGAGGGACAAGGACCGAAAATTGAATTGTGGACAGAGAGAAGGAGGGACTATCAGATAGCCAGAGAGACAGAGAGAAGGAGGGACTATTAGATAGCCAGAGAGACAAGAGAGAAGGAGGGACTATCAGATAGCCAGAGAGAAGGAGGGACTATTAGATAGCCAGAGAGACAAGAGAGAAGGAGGGACTATCAGATAGCCAGAGAGACAGAGAGAAGGAGGGACTATCAGATAGACAGAGAGAAGGAGGGACTATTAGATAGCCAGAGAGACAAGAGAGAAGGAGGGACTATCAGATAGCCAGAGAGAAGGAGGGACTATCAGATAGCCAGAGAGACAGAGAGAAAGGAGGGACTATCAGATAGACAGAGAGAAGGAGGGACTCTCAGATAGCCAGAGAGACAGAGAGAAGATTGGTAGCAAAGAGGACGAGATGAGTGGATGGAGATGAGGGAGGCGGTGGATGAGTCTGGCGGCAGCTCCGCCGCGGAGATGGAGCGATGAGATCGTTCTTTACGAGGAATCATGTTTACATTAACCACAATACCTGCGGGCAGAATGCAAACAAAAAACACACTGATAATGTATGTGGAATTGTCCTTGAAATTGATTGGTCCACACCAGAGACAGCTTTCCTTAGAGCCTAGTCTCATACGGTGTTCGACCAGATGACGCCAAAAGGCGAACAGCTCAAAGACAACGCACTATCAGAGTAATGAGGGCTCGGGGTAAGCATTTACATCATGAGGCCTCCTTTGCCAGTGCCAAAATATAATAAGAGTGTTTTTTGTTTGCATTCTGACCGCAGGTATTGTGGTTAATGCAGACATGATTCCTTGTAAAAAGGTTTCAGTTTTGTTGCCAGAAAAAAGGGGAAAAACCCTATTATTATATTTTGGTACTGGCAAAGGGAGGCCCCATGATGTGAACAAGAGAATAATCTCGAACTTAGATCGTGATGGCATGGGGAGGCCACCATCCAACAGCGGATAGAACATTGCTGCTGATCATGATGATGTATTAAACATTCACGGCTATGAGAAGGCCATTGCATTGCAGCTTTTTGTTGCAAATCCAAGACTTTTAAATACAAAAAAAACATAAAACATGTTTTCGGAAAAAGCCACCTTCAACCAAAGTTCGAGCCCAGGATCGTAATCTGACGAAGACAATGCTAAGACACGGCCACTATGAACCCCGTGAGGTTGTCTGGCGGCCCTGTGCTGGTGCGATTTGGAGGGTCTATTTTAGTGAACTCTTGAGTATTGTGTTGCACGGTGATATTAATAGGGGCGACTGTACCGATATTTGAGCCGCCAGCCACTGCGGTTTAGAATGCCGCATGGTATGAGAGTTTAAGCCCGAGTCTGGGCTTGGCTTAGCTCATCCCTCCAGGGGCGATACAATGAGCAGTGCCAATTGGTGGGAAGTCAACGGTGATCATTGTTGATTGGATAGACTTGCCCTTGCCGCAATAACGTGGAATTTCCACCACTGGCTCGCAACTGTGAGTTCATGCTTGTTTGAGTTGGAAACCACTTTTGTTTACCTGGTGATGGCGTTGTTGATGCAACGGATTCACAAATCCATCCGTGTGGAGTTTTGGGCGTCACCCTCTCGTGTGCGTGAGTTTTATCCGTGTTCTCCGGTTTCTGCCCACAAGGGAAAACGCACTCGCCGTTGAAATTTGGCCAAATATTCCAATACCAGGCCCTACTGAAACAATACCCCCAAGACTTTGGGTTCTCCTGGATGAATGGCATTACGGTAGTCCCTCGATTCAACGTTTTGAATCCGTTCCACAAAAACTACTGTTAACCAAAAAAACTGTCAATCGAATATGGGAATGGCATGTTAAAACCATTAATCCATTCCAAGACGATCAGAAGTTGACCTTTTTGGCCCTAAAACATAGTTCGTAACATTGAAACACTCAATATTAATAAACTAGCCTTTTGCCCGTCCAAGGACGAGTGTATTGCAGTGAATCTGAAGCTTGCACGCGAAAAGCAGACCGCGACGTGATATGTTAATTGCATTAATGCGTGTGCAATTTGTGAGGGCGCGGTGACACAGACCTTTTATTTTAAGGTTATAATCCCTTGTTCATCATTACGTCCTTGTTACTTTGATGTCTCAACAGCGTCACGGAGATCACGTGACGTGAGGGTTCTGCCTTTGTAGTGAGGGTTGTAAGTTGACGCCGAGGAGGGGGGAGGAGGCGCCTCGCCCCCCCCCCCATGTGGAGTGACGTCACCCGCTAATTATTATTAATGGCGGGGGTGTCCATTTGGAGGACGTCACCTGGTCATGATTATTAATGAGGGGGGATGGTTCGATTTGGAGTGACGTCACCTGCTCAGGATTATTCTTTGGGGGGGAGGGGGAAGTACTCCATATTGAGTGCCGTCACCCGCTCATGATGAATGAGGGGTGGGGGAGTGTCCATTTGGAGGACGTCACCTGCTCATGAATATTAATGAGGGGGGATGGTCGATGTGGAGTGACGTCACGAGCGTTAATTATATTCCTGGGTGATTATAGTAGGTATAAACATGATAACACTTTAAATAATGCTTTGTTTTAAGGCTAATTGCTGTCTTACTCTTCTCCTTTTTGCGAAATAACTTGAGGGGACATTGCAATCACTATGAATTCACTTACGAGTTGAAAATTTTGTTTAAAAAAAAAATCACCGAGTCTGCAAGAGAGCAGTTTCCACTGCCAAAACAGAAGACGTATCATGTGAACAAAGCCAGTCGAGGTCTCAACGCTCAAACGGGCATCGCTGATTGGCCGTGAGCATGGCTCAGCCCCACTTACAAGCGCTCGGATTGGCCGAAATTGGCGCCCGCGTGCATTATCTCAACGTACCGCTGAATAAAAATTTCAACATTAATGGAAACCATGGGTGGGTCCTATGGAAGGCGAAACGTTAACCGAAAAACCACGAACCTATGTCTTTGTTAACCGAGGGACGACTCTATTGCTATTTTGTACTCATAATTTTTTTATTATTACTATCATCACGCTTGTATTATTACTATCATCACGCTTGTATTATTACTATCATCACGCTTGTATTATTACTATCATCACGCTTGTATTATTACTATCATCACGCTTGTATTATTACTATCATCACGCTTGTATTATTACTATCATCACGCTTGTATTATTACTATCATCACGCTTGTATTATTACTATCATCACGCTTGTATTATTACTATCATCACGCTTGTATTATTACTATCATCACGCTTGTATTATTACTATCATCACGCTTGTATTATTACTATCATCACGCTTGTATTATTACTATCATCACGCTTGTATTATTACTATCATCACGCTTGTTTACCCATGCAAGCCTCGCCGAGTCTCACGACTCTTTTTCAGGAGGCTCCTGCCAAGTTGTCATTCTGGAGGGAGGGGGGGTGGCATTATGACCAAGTGTAATCCCAGGCCAAGTCGCCGAGTAATTCCAGTTGAGAGTTTGAATTACAATTCTTAATTCCTCCGCTAAATTGCGGCGAGGGTGCCGCACTCTTTGGGCGTACCTCGTGTGGATGTATTGCGCACTTAATCGGCGTGTGGTGGTGGTGGTGTTGTTAGTGGCGCTGGTGGTTGTGGGGAGCGGTAGTGCAGCGGTTAGCGCGCTGCGCTACAAACCTGGCAACGCAGGTTCGATTCCCGTTCATGGCCAACACCATTGATGATTATCTGAACTGGTCCTGCGCCTCCCCTAGGTCGACTCAGCCTCAAATGAGTACTTGGTGCGGTGTGTAAACATTGCCACTGGGGAGACAAAGGCGGCTGGGCGTGGTGTTGGCTACCCGCCTCGTGTGCCGTGCCGGCCTTCACAGGTGCTACTCGCTAACAGCACTTGCCCCTACAGTCTGTCAAGGCTACACGGGGGATCTTTGTCGTCGTAGTGGTGCTGGTGGTTGATGTGCGGTGGCAGTGGTGGTTTGGGTGTGGAGTTGTTGGGGTCCGTGTGCCTTAGTTTGCATTGGTTCCATTTGTTGTAGTTCGCTTAATGTGGTTATGTTGTGGTTGCAGTGGTCATTGTTCTGTGGATGCAATGGTCTGGGGTGAATGGTTACCACAGTGTGATTGCCACGGTTAATCTGCTGCAGTTACATTGCCACAGTTTCCACAGTTCATCGATGCAATTATGTTGAACTTCCTGTGCGCCGTACGTCGCCAACGGCGCTAATCGGAGGTGCGGGGGGAGGAACAAACTAAACGCAAAAAGCAGTTCTAAATAAATTGGTTTTCAATCTAGGTTATTTAAAAGTGCATAGCTCCAGTGGCTTCCTAATATCTGAAGAGAGTTCCAGATGCCCTCAGAAGCGCTGTCTGAAAGGGCGCGACACGGTGACCGCCTTTGTTCAATGGCCAGCCAAAAGCCGCCGCCGCTGCCAGGATGACCAAAGTTCGCGTGATGATGGTTTATGCTCCTTGACGAGATCAGCAAAGGTATTGCGGCTCATTCGCGGCAAGCACTTTGAAGGCTACACGGCGGAGGGTGCGAATCGCCGTCTCTGTATTATGCTTTGTACGTACAGGGTGGGCGTGCTGGAGGATGAGTATACCTGCCTGGGCATCTGCTGCGCCATCCTCTTCTTCCCGATCGGCATCCTGCTTTGCCTGGCACTGCGGGAGCGCCGCTGCCCAAACTGCGGCGCCGTCTTCGGCTGAGGACGCACCCGGACTCGCCCGCTGAGAGCGAGCCCCCCAGGGTTCAGCCGTGACCCCTGACTGTAACCCTGACCGTCCCCCTGACCCCACTCCCAACTCTGACCCCCTAACCGTGATTCCAACAATAAACCCATAACCATGATATGTACAGTTGCCCCCCAACTCATCTTGACGCAAACATTGATACCCTAACCCCAACCTCAACCCTAAACCATTGACCATAACCCTGGCTCCTAACACAAAACCCCTAACCCTATCTTTTCCACTAACCCTGACCCACTGACCCCAACTCCCAACACTAAATCGCTAACGCTAGATCTGAGGCTAACTGTGACCCGAGCCTTTGAGTGTAACCCTCGCTCTTAACTGTGCGTCACTCGCACCACACCACTCGCACCGCATCACTCACAAACTCGACTCGCCACACCACCTACATGCACACAAATCACCATGCTGCTTACCAAACCACCACACCACCCAACTCGCACCACACCACACCACCCAGCTCACCACACCACCCAACTCACCACCCAACTCACCACACCACCCAGCTCACCACACCACCCAACACACCACCCAACTCTCAACACACCACCCACACTGCCCCAGGCGCCTGACTGCAGGGGTGTCACAGAGTGAACGGTGGGTCTGTGTGTGGGTGTGTTGTACGCGTGCAATTTGTACTACAGTATTTACATTTGTAAAGTGTTTGAAAGGCCGGCATATCTAATGCGAAATGGAACTGAAGGGTGTAAAAGGGGGTTATTTGGGAATATAGGGGGTGGCGGATGTTGGCTATTCGTGGTGTGTGTGTGTTCCCTAAATGACATCGATGTCACCGTATTCTCTGAATTATAAAGACGCTCCGGAAAGTAAAAGAAGCACTCCAACCTGGTGCCCTGATGCTAATAATAAGTTTAACATGTAGCAGTGGTGGCGGCAGTGGCGGCAGTGGCGGCAGTGGCGGCAGTGGCGGCAGTGGCGGCAGTGGTGGCAGACGTTAGCGGCCAACATTGTCCATAATCGAGGTTTTTCTTTTTTGGGTAAGATCGCGTCGGAGGATTTCTTCACAACTCTGGCTGCAGCCTGACGAGGCTGGTTGTTGTAATTACCGGCGAAATGTCACGGTACTCGAATGGTAAATGTCGTGGTGTTTGTAATCCAATACAACCGGTGTGCTGAACTAGTAACGAATTGGCACGTTTTGTTTACGGGACAGAACCTCACTAATTGGCTGCGTGGGGTGATGGCGGGTTTAACGACACGTTTATATTTACGCGATCCAACCCAAAAGAAACCCCTCTATTATGGATAATAAAGTTTATAACAAATTTTGTGTCTCTCGCTAGCAACAAAGACAAAAGTCACCTTTATAGCCTTAACAGACTGTTGGGGCAAGTGCTGTTAGCGAGCACCTATCAAGGCGCACACACACATGCGTGCACAGATGCACGACTTACCAGATTATAAGATGCACCCCCCCCAACTTCTTCTTAAACATCAGCAGAATACGGTCATGACGGCAGTGTAGACGCACGCCTACTTGTATTTAATCCGGAGGCTCGAAGCTGGGGTTGATGATAATGCAGTGATGGGAGCTTTGATTTAGTGTTTCTGTCAACGGGAGGCGCAGAGGGTGGTGGTGGTGGTGTGTGAGCAGTTCTCCTTCCTCGCCTCTGAGGCATCGGCTGTGGGAGGCAGGACAGCAAGCGGGTGTCGAGGCACGAGGTCCGTCCGCGTGGCGGAGAGTGTGCGCGACTGGTCTCTGCTTGGGTGGATTCTCTCTGGCCACTGGAAAGAGGAATTGGGCAAATTTCCCAAGCAGATCTCCAGCCTGGCAGTATAGTACAGTCTTGTAGATTCTGAAGCTTTTCTGGCTAAAGATTTCGAATCGAAATGACATATTAGTCGTTCTTCACAAATTTTCAGAGGGGGGGGGTGCCCACTTTCGCCGATAAGACATCATCAGTGTGAGGGCCGCCACGCATTTTAAATTATTGGGGGTTTGACAGCAGCATGATGATGGGGGGGGGGGGGGGTTACATTCGTGTATTGTCAGGGGCAGCACTAAAGGCGACCAGTGGCCCGCAGGCCTTTGCGATGGAGAACACTGGCCTACATTATCCAGGAAAGCCTCGCTCCGTTTCAAGAATCATTTTCAGCAGGGCCCTGCATTGGCGTCTTTGGCCAATCCCTGCTTGTCGAGTGTTGTGTGTGCGTGAGAAGAAAAACCCCACCGTGCATACAAGGGGATGAACGGATGGGCACTTCAACCCACTTGCTGGACTGCCGCCTCTTGGCCACCTCGCATCCCAGCCGGGATCCCACGGACCACGTTGTCCACGGCACCGGCTCGCAGCCATGTGCCACCGTGCCAGGCTAAGTGCGCAAACGGGCGGGGAGGGGGAGGGGTGGTGGTTGCGTACGACGTGATGACACGGAGGAGTCGAATGTGCCACGAAGAAACACCTCGTGGCTTCCACCTCCCCATGCAGACGCTCGTGGGCCCCACCCGGGTGGGGCGGTGGGCCCAGTTCGTTCTCCCCCTTCACTGGGCCCTGTCGCGTCCGACTCGGGCTGCTGTTCGCGAAATTCGTTTCTTCCCCCCCCCCTCCCCACTGTGTTCGGCGCTTTGTATCGGGCTCGCGTTGAGTTGTAACGAGAAAAACATCTCACGGTAACGTGCACAACTGCAACGAGATTACCGTGATTCTCGTCGTCGTCGTCATGCCTGGTGCGAAGCATGAGCTGCTGCGGGGTAGTGCAGGAAGGAGGAGAGAATGGGTTGCCGTGTGGACCGGGAGGAGCCGAGAGGTTGCCATGGACGACCGTGCGGAGGGAGTTTCGGACGTCGCCCACAATGCGCACGCAGAGCTTGTGATTTTGTCAAAGTTGCCGTGGTTGCCTGAAATGTACTTGGTGGGGCCCATGGCGTTCGTGACGAGCTCTTGTCAATAGCACCGTGGTAGTACGTTAAACTTATTTCGCACCATACGTAGTCAACCGTACTCATCGGAGGTGCAGGGGAAGGACAACAAACTCAACACAAAACAAAGTTCTAAAGAAATTAATTTTCAATCTAGATTTAAAAGGAAGAAGCGTTCCAGACGGCCACAGAAGTGCATCGGAAAGTGCGTTAATGGCTAGCCATAGAGCCTCTGCGAGGGTGACCGAAGTTCGCGTGATGGCTTACTCTCCTTGACGAGGTCAGCAACCAATTGTGGCAAGCACTGTGCGTGTGTGGAACGAGTGCGACCTCAATGCATTCCTTCGGCAACCGGAATCCAATGCAGTTCGGCGAGCACCAGATAAGACACGGGTCGGCTCTTGCAGTCGCCAGCGGCGCGTGCGTTTGCCAGCCTCGTGCCCTCCGTCCTGTTCGGTTTTATAGGCAGAAAGGAACGGGGGGGGGGGGGGGAGCGTAAAAAGCCACGCTTCTTATCCTTCCAGCAATTGGTGCCATGGGAATTCTGGGAAATAGAATCGTGAGGTTTGAATCCGTGCGTGTGTGCGGAGGCTTGATTGTGTTGCCTTGTTGCATGCGTGGTAGCAGCGTTCGTTTTTTTTCCCCACGAAGCCAAAACGCTCGCTAATGTTATTGGCCACACGGCGAGTGTGGCAGGACCCTCCTGAACAAACCACATTCTTGCCCACTCGGTGAGGCCCATTATCAACTGCATAGAAAAAGTCCATTATCATCATAACTGAACTCACTATTACAACTGTAATTCATTATAATAACAATACAATTGTAATGTTTACCCAAAATTCCTGAGCAATGTTTTCTACTGTAAATGTCGCAATCGTGTGTTTTGTCTCTTTCACGGCATTGTTAATGACAAATGTTAGCGAGTTGAGTGTCTGTGTTCTTGTGTTACCACTGCCAACAAATTCGTTTCTTTTATATATATGGTGGGATTATTTAATAGGGGAATGGTTTTGTGTTTGAAATGCCACAGTATTACCCATTAGAATTCACGGCCTATGGGAGGCCAAGTTCTCACCGCGTTGAACACGAGATGCGAGTCGCCCCCTTCCCCACCTCCCTCCCCCTCTCGTCTCCCCCTCTTCCCCACAACCCCTCACCTCTCACCCCCCTCCTAACCCCAGCACGGCTGCTCCTGCTGCTGCTCCATAACGTTTACACCGCCGGTTCTCGATCCGTGAGTCGATAGGCTGCGGCACGGATACCGTGCGGGAGAAATGTTGAATTCGCACGGGGGGGTGGGGGGGAGACGTTGCGGCGACAAAACACAGTGACTCTACACGCCAAGAAACCGCAGTGTCTCCGACACCACCACCACCACCTTCGACGTGAGGCGATCTTCTCCGTAACCTGGGAAGCACCGCAGACCTGTGGGTCTTGAGTGGTGGTCGTGGTGTGGGTGCCTTAGCGAACCGGTTAAGAACCGTTGGTTTAAACCAGTGGTCTTCACTCATCTTCATAGGGGAGAGGCCACTTTCGCGGATAAGACATCAGTTGTGAGGGCCACCACGCATTTGAAAACATTGTTGCTTTTGACAGCCTAACGATGGGTTGCGTTTTCACATTTGTGTATTGAAACGGCGAACTTAAAAAAAAATATTTTGCCAGGTGAGGCCCACCGAGCTATTTCAGCTCTTTTTTTTCCGAAGCGACCTGGCCACACATGGTAACTCAACGAAGTGGCTTATCATGTGGAAATTTATAGCAGCCAAATACTCTTAAACGCGTGAGGTTGATTCTAAATGGAGGGGGGGGGGACCGGAGAAAAATCCACACGACCACGGAGGAGATGGAGAGACACGCAAACTCCACAACTGTACAGCAGGCATCAAGGGTCTGGATCGAACCCGCGCCCTCTTGTATACCTGGCGAGGTAGTTAACATCGTCGTTTGTGGCCGTACTAAAGGCCACCAGGGGACGCCAGTGGCCTGCGATTGCAGGGGTGGAGGGAGAAGTGCGCGTGGGGTTTTGGTGAGAACGTGGGCCTGGGGCAAGGGGGCTTGATTACACACCGGTTGGCGGGGGGTGTAGGAACCATTCGTTCACACGTCGCACAACTTTTAACGCGCTAAATAATATAAGCTACCGATGTTTAAGCTCGGATTAAAGTAACGTAGAAACATTGTTAAAAAAAAATGTAATAAAACCGTTTACAAATGCCGCGTGATTGTGGTTCAGAATCATTGCTGCACTGGTTTCTGCTGTTGAACGAAAGCGGGGATTGGAAGTCCCCAGTTTCCCCCGCTCCTTACCAAAGTCTTTGAAATGCCCTCGTGTCGCCGTCCATTGGACTTGGTCTCAACGTTCAAGCAGTTCCGCCCTCCCGCTACGGGGCCCAGGGGGAACGCGTTTTGAGAAAACTCCGCTGCCCCCCCCCCCACCCATCGTCTTCTCTGCAGTGACAGAGACCCGTGCATCGCAGATCACCAATTAGGAAGCGAACGCTTGGGAGGCTCCACCGTGACAGCCGATCGCAGCGAGCGCATCGTCGCAGCCGGGAGATGGAGCGGTGTGGAATGAGGCTTTATTTTTAAGTGCTCGGAGCGAGGTGGATTGTTGCTTTGATTAGAGAAGAGATGGAGTGATGTGGTACACAAGGACGTGGTGCTGAGTGGATTGGTACCAGCGGTGTCAAGATCGGCCTCTGTGGAGGAGGCTCGTGAAGGACGCTGCTGCTGCTGCTTGCTACTGGGCAGTTGGAGGCAATCGCCCTCCAGCAACAACGGAGGGCAGAGGAGCAACGCTCACAATAACGAGCGGAGCGCGGGGCGGATAAAACGCAGCAAGTTGGCACAGCAGGTGGCGCAGGTGGTGCATCGGCCAGGCTCATCTCAGTCGGCCTATGGCGCCTGGGTCTGTCCCGTGACCTGCCAGCGGGCGTTCGACACTTCACGTGGCCTTGAGGTGCACATAGCCTGGCACAAGCGCCATGGTGACCTTACCGCCACTGAGTTGGCGAATGGCGGTTGTTGTTGCCTTGCGAGACTGCGCGAGATTCCGGCATATTTTTGGCTGATTGCGAGAGGCCGTGATCCAGCGGCTGATAGATCGTGGCTGAGGAAATCCATTGGGATGTAAAAACACAACCCGAAATAGCATGAGGTCATGCACACCTGGATGGTAGCGGAAGAATTCCATTTGGATGCAAGTGTAAAAACACTGAACCCGAAATAGCATGAGGTCATGCACACCTGGATGGTAGCAGAAGAATTCCGTTGGTTCAGCGTTTTTACACCTAAATTCAAATTAGCATCAGGTCCTGCACACCTGGTTGGTGGCTGAGGAAATCCATTGGGATTTAAGTGCAAAAACGCCGAACCCCAATTAGCGTCAGGTGATGCATTGCAACACCTGACGGTTGGTGAACGTGGAGTCGTCACGTGAACAGACTTCGGCAATCCCTGGCGAAAAACGCACTCTGGACAAAGTGACTTCGTGGTGAGAATGGGGTTGGTGGATCACAAACGGATGGGAATACTAATCAATTTTTTTTATATCTATATAAAATCGCATTCCGATTTAAAGCTTTCGTGACTGCAAGGATTCATCTTCTTTGGTTCTTTCGGTAAGGTCACGTAGAATGAGAATAAAATAATAAAATAACAATAAAATTCTCACGACGTTTCGGCCACAACGCAAGCGCCCGTTGTGGCCGAAACGTCGTGAGAATTTTATCGTGTTATTTTATTTTATTCTCATTCTACGTGACCTTACCGAAAGAACCAAAGAAGAAAAATCGCATTCATCAACAACATCGGCTTAAAAGAAAAAGTATGTAACCGGGGACGATTCAGGCACTGGCCCTTCATTGCTATGAAGGGCCGTTGCCCAAAACGTTGGCTATTATATACCATTCCGAATACGGCAACCCATAGTCTTGACGAATGTGCCAAGACTACCAAACGACGTAGTGCCACAAAAATAATGTGTTTTAACGCTAAGGAGTGGCGATGACGTGCAATGAAGTCTGTACACAGCAAGTGGATTCCTGTACTCGTACAGATGTTTACCCACCACACCGGGTACTGTACTCATTTGAAGGCCGAGTCGATCCAGGGGAGGCCCAGGGTCAGCAAACATTTGTACACACGCAGACATACGTTTACACATTCACACATTCGTGCACACTTTTTTTATAGCCTTAACAGACTTTTGGGGCAAGTGCTGTTTGCGAGCACCTCTGAAGGCTGGGACGGTACACAAGGTGGGGGGGGGGGTGTGACCAGTACTGTAGCACGCCCGGCCGCCTGTCTCCCTAGTTGGCGATGTTTACACACCGCACCATGTAACCCATTTGAGGCCGAATCATCATTTACAAAACACACACAACGGAAGACAAAGAACCCCGTATGGCCTTAACAGACTGTCGGGCCAATTGCTGGTTACCTAACACCAACGGTAAACACTGCCCCCTTCACCTCGCACACACAACCACACTATCTTCTAACCCTAGCCCTGACCCAAGTCCTCAACCCCGACTCTTCCCCCAACCCTGCACAGTCGATAAACAACAACCAGGTCACAGAGCGAGGCGGCCGGTCTCGTGAGAAGTCGGGTTTTATTGGAAGACTGGGTCGGCGTACGCCACCCCATCATCATCAACACCAACACCACCAAATAAAAACCCCAAATAAAAAGATTCCCCGTGTAGCCTTAACAGACTGTTGGGGCAAGTCCTGTTTGCGAGCACCTATGAAGGCCGGCGCGGTACACAAGGTGGGTGGGTGGCCAGCACCACGCCCGGCCGCCTTTGTCTCCCCAGTGGCGACGTTTTACAAATTTCACCGGGTACTCATTTGCGGCTGAGTCGACCTAGGGGAGGCCCAGGACCGGTGCAGATATTCGTCGCTGGGTGTTGGACCGTGAGTGGGAATCGAACCCGGGTCGCCTGGTTCGTAGCGCAGCGCGCTAACCGCTACACTACCACCACCCGCCCCACAAATCGAAGTGCTACACCATCACGGTGTTGGCGAGGTGACAGGCGGGCGGCAAAAAAAAAACACGTGATCGATCGTTGAGGAGCCGAACCAACGCTGGTCCAGCGCACGTGACCAACGCTGGTCCAGCGCACGTGACCAACGCTGGTCCAGCGCACGTGACCAACGCTGGGCCAGCGCACGTGACCAACGCTGGTCCAGCGCACGTGGCCAACGCTGCGCGTCCGAGCGGGGGAGGACGACGGAAAGTCACACGCGGGTCGGGTCGGAGGCGGTTGCAGACGCGCGTCGTGACGAAGCCTCTTCCCCTCGAGACGCACATGTCGTCGTTGGGGAGGCAGGCGGTGGGGGGTGTTTAATGGACACAAATACGACAACGACGGATACCGACGTCCGTGAATCAAAAATATATATGTACAACGAGCCACCTTCCCTTTTGCTGTATGACAACACTCCCCACGGTGAAACGTGCAACTTTGGGCCAATTTTGACAGGAGGTTGAAAACGTTGGCCCAACGTTCCAGGTTTTACAGTGTCGCGACCTCCTGGTGAAACGTGGCAACGCTGGCCCCAAAGTTTCACGTTTACTGCGTCGCGGCTTAAACGCAAAATATATATTTTTGGCTAATCTTGTCCAAACCCCCATGCAGTTAGACCCAACAGCGATGGAGTTGCCTTAGAAAAACACATTTCATAAATCATCATCGTCGTCGTCATAATTGCTTCATCTCGAGCCAGGGGTGGGAAACCAAAACACCAAGAAGAGCAGCCTTTTGTTTCGTTCCCAATTCGGTAACAGAACTCAAATTTTCAAGAGCCGCCGATGCGTGCGAATACAGACACCCATATGTAGACATGACGGTGACGAAGCATTCCCGCATGCGGCTCCAGAGACGACCCCCACCCTGGTCGAGAAGAAGACGCTGCAACAGCGGCGCCTGCAACCAGTGAGTAAAACTCGTAAATGGGACTGGTCACGGGAATGTGGAATTCACTCCAAGTCCACCACCACCACCACCACACGAGTGCGTGACAAGTGGCGGATTGTAAGGCCGCTCCGTTTACAAAGTAGGACGCACCTCCCCCCAAGCCGTTGCATTCCCGGTGTCAACACATTTATACAAGTCCGGCGTCTCCTCTCTCTCTCACAACACACCTACCGGATTGTAAGACGCACCGTTCCCCCACCCTCGCCTCATCTTTAAGACGACAGTAGTTTATCCACTCACTTTCAGAGGGGGGTGGCGGGGGGGGAGGAGGAGGAGGCCACTTTCGCCGATAAGACATGATTAGATGTGGCAAGAGCCGCCACACATTTGAAACCCATCGGGGGTTTGACAGCACGGCAATGATGGGAGATTGTGGAGGAGGTGGGGGGGTGCACGCACGTCAGGGGGCCACACTAAAGGCCACCAGTGGCCCGTGGGCCTTGCAACGGAGAGCACCGCTTTGAGATGTCGGGGAAGGGAAAAGTGCGTCTTTAACAATCCGGGGAATCCGGCGTGATGCGCGACCCCCTTGTGACGATGCACGGCGTTGACGAGTCCCCGGGGTGGGATGGGGGAGGGGGGGGCATTATGGTTTTAGATTATTGCTCTCAGAACGTTTTGACTGTCCTCGGTTACCGATTCAAGCTACCCGGTGAGACGGTCTGCGTGCGTTTTTATTAGAAGAGAAAAGCATTTCGCGTGAGTTTGAACTCCCGACGACTACTAAGGCACGGACGCCGCACTGGCGAGAATTTACGCGTAAAAAAAACCATAAGTCATAATTTGTGCTCATACAACATAAGAGTGTGTGTTGTTTGTTTGTGTGGTGGGGGGGGGGCAATTAACCAGCAAGACGACAAATTATATACCCTTAAAATCAGTCAAAAGCAGCAACGGTAGCAACAACAAAAATCCTGGTCTAAAATGATCGCCAGGTTCAAGTCCCGGCCAACTTGGTCACATCATAGCCACCACCACCACCAATCGTGACACCGCCGGCGGACAGCAATATGACGAGTACCATGTGTTGACGGTCAGTGACGTGCGACCGTTTCATTAATTACGTCAAGGCGGTCGGTACCTACCACAGGAAATGTGGAATTGCCACTAATTATTGAGAAACCAACGGTGGTGGTGGTGGGTGGCAAGCGGTGGTTTTTAAGTTAACGAGACCGTGACCCCGCCATACGAACGTGGAATCTCCCACCACGAGACCGGGATGGCGAAAAGTGAGAAGCCTCTCCTGCCGCTCGGTTGGAGCGTCGTGGTTTCCCGTCTTTTGCCCAAATGGAAACCTTTGAGCCCGCAAAACTCCCGCGTCGCACGCTCTGCCTCTGGCGTTTGATTTGTTTAATAAGACAAACATCGTCATGAGCGCGCGTGGAGAGACAACACGGAGATGGACTTTTGAGATCGGTCTCGCAATCGATAACACTAACGACACACGCACACACAGACACAGACGCGTTCACACGCACGCACGGCCACACACACACAAAGATTCCCACCCCCCCCCCCCCCCCCCCACATAGCCTGAACAGACTTTTGGGGCAAGTGCTCTTCGAGAGGAGCACCTATTATTCAAGCCCAGAATTTGGTGACGATGGGGTGGTGGTGGTGGTGGTTAGCACCACGCCCGGTTGACTTTTGACAACTGGACACAGTCACACAAAGCCTTTAGCACAGACGGTTGGGGTCAAGTGCTGTTCGTGAGCCCCTATGCAGGCCGGTAAGCACGTGAGGGGGGAGGGTGGGGCCAGTAACACCAACACCACGCTCGGCCGCCTTTGTCTCACCGATGCCGATGCTTTACGCGCCGCACTCGGCACTCGTTTAAGGCCGAGTCGACCTAGGGGATGTGCGGGACAGATTCAGATAAATCGTCACCGATGTTGGCCGCGAGTGGGAATGGAACTTGGGCTGCCAGGTTTGCAGAGCAGCGCGCTAACCACAACAACAACCACCACACCCCCCCCCCCCACTCGTACACATCACGTGCACCAAAAAAAAGACATGTCGAACGCACGCACACCAACACATAAATACGCATTCACCACGAAGCGAAGAAGCCTTTGAACGTAACTGTACACCACGAGATGGCCTCAGAGGGACTTAGGAGACGCAGCCATTGCCACCCCCACACAGAGCGCCAGTGAATAATAATTGTACAGTCGTAGGCGCAGTAACCGTCGTTGTCGTTATCGTCGTCATCATCCTCGCCGTCAGCTGCTGCTAAAGAACCTGCTATGTCTAGTGCAAAAATATACTCGCCACCTTTAGTGTGCACGGCTGCCGTGCGTGCGTGCGTGCGCGCACGCACGCACGCACGCGTGCCCCTGGGTGTGCGCGCGTGCCGGTGTGCCTATCTGCTTGCGCACGGGTACACACGTGCGTGCGCCATTGTGCAAATTTGCGCGCATGAACGCAAGCGTATACATGCGTGTGTCTGCATGTGCACGTGCGTGCGTCTGTCTGTCTGTATGCAAGCTGGACGAAGCCGAATGACTGCACGCGACCTCGAGTGTGTCGAACCCAGTTCGGGGTGTCTTGGTTCCGTGTTTTCCGATTTTTTCCCGATTTGGTCGGGATGCACGCACGTGACTTCCGTCCCCGATTTTTTTTTGTCCGGATGATCATCCAATTCCGTTGACGCGTCGGTCCGTTCCGAAGCGACGCTCAGCGTGCGCGACAGCTGTGCCGGTAGCCTGCCCACCCCCCCTCCCTCATCCCCCCCCCCCCCCCGTCCAAATTTTTTCGTGCAAATTGATCTGAGTATGCGAACACAAACGAAATGCACTTGGGGTGTTTTGACACAACTCACCGATGGCAAGTGTAGCGACGATTCATGAAGCGGATGGTCCATCTCGAACCCGAGCACCCTAACATAGGCCTGTTTCCTAAAGAGAAGTCCAGCTTTTACCCCAAACCGTAGAGCTGCAACTCTGACCCTGACCACAAGCATAACACCAACCTGAACGTAAATCCCCAAAAACGTAGCCAGATCCTATACCCTAACCCATAAACTCGGGCACTCGGCTTAAAACTATTAAATATATATTTTTTACTTAACCAGGCAATGCCTACTGAGCTCTTATTCAGACGCGACCTGGTCACACATGATAGCTCAACGAAGTGGCTTCTCATCACATGGAAATTGATAGCAGTAGCCAAATACTCTAAGCGCACGGTGATTCTAAAGAGGGAAAAGCCGGAGGGCCCAGAGAGAAAAATTTGCGCGACCACAGGGAGAGACACATGCAAACTCGAAATATACAACAGGCGTCAGGGTCAGGGAAGAACCCACGGCCTCCTGTATACCAGGCGAGACAGTTAACATCTCACCACCGCAGCTTAACTCCAGTAGTATGCTTGAACATTACCCCCTAACAATAATAGTACTATCCCGAGTAGAAATCCTAACCCTTCCCCCCAAACCTCATCCTTACCCCCAACGTAAGCGCCAAGCAATGGCAGAGCCAAGCTTTTCAGGTGGGGGGGGGGGCAACCCCTCCAGCAATGAAAAATGATAGAGGAGTTGTTAGTAAGTAAGGAGTTGTTAGTAAGGAGTTGTTAGTAAGGACTTGTCCCTTGCTTTTTATTCGACGCGTGTGCGGCGATGGCGCAGCCATCGATCGAGGGTCGAATTGGAACCGCGTTGTGTGATCGGCATCGCGCTCGCTGAAGGTGTTGATGCCTTCAGGGAAGTCGTGTCCTGTATACGCGACTGCGCACAATTCTGTGAGTCACTTATAACTGCTTTGCCGTTACTTATTGCCAATTATGGACTCAGACTATTGTCCTATCATCTCATAGAGTCCCTGGCACATAATAATATGCTACACAGTGGCAGTGGGGGTCGCAAAATAACGATTTATTACTAATAAACCCTAATGATCCGATCGAAATTAGGGATTTCGATCGGATCATTGGGGGGGCACGTGCCATCCCCCCTCCCCCCACCCCGGCTCCGCCAGTGGCGCCAACCACAACCCTAACGCCGAGTCTAACCGCACCACCGCTATCCCAAGCCATAGCCGACGCCACACGCTAACGATGCCACACCCCTCCTCCTATGCTTGTACAAAGACACGGGGGGGGGGGTGGGGGCAGCCTTGGGCGAGTTTCAGCAAGAGAGGACCTGTTGGTACCAGCGTGGGTGCACGTGCCATGTGCCAACGTCGCGGCGGTTCGGTACCGGCGCCACGCGCCCCGCACAAGCCCGACCGCCGTCGTCATCTCAAACTCGAAGCCGAGCGATGGCCGCGCTATCGCCGCCCGCACGCAGCCCACGTTTATTTAACGCCGAGTTAATTGGTGGATCTCTGCGCCCGCATGACCGGGAGTCGAACGCGGGCCCGACAGCTATTGCGCGCGCACGGACGACATCGCGGGAACGTTGACGTTGACAGTGCCGCCACCCACCCCACAAAATAGCAACGCAATCAGGTGTAGTGTGTAATTACAAAAACACCCAGAAAAACTCGCGCACATTCCATAAACGATGACTGAAAAAAGCTTAACAAAGTAAACAAAAAAATAAAAAAACCCGACACGGAATTTAATGCGCGCACGCGTGCGCAAAGTCCGGGTTGAGTCCCGCCAGCGTGGAGGTAGGAGTCGGGAGGAGACCAGGAACTGCTGCGTGTGCCCCTCACCCAGAGGGACGGGAAATTTAAACGTCGGGAAAAAATAAACGAAAAATCAAGATAAGTTATTATTATTCATCTAACAAGCGCAGCGGCGTTACAGACAGACAACAATGGCTGGTGGGGCCCGGTGGGGCCCGGTGGGGCCCGGTGGGGCCCGGTGGGGCCCGGTGGGGCCCGGCGTGGCCCGGTGGGGCCCGGCGTGGCCCGGCGGGCGAGGAAGAGGAAGCCAACCACGAGGGGTTTGAGAAAAAAAAAATTGGGGGTAGAGGGCGTGCGAGGAACCATGGCGGAGCTCCGCGAGGTGGTCTTGGTCTTGGGGAGGAGGTCCGTGGGCCCCAGGGTCATCGGCGGCCTCACTTGACCATGGGTCCCGAGCGATCGTTGGTGACCGTGGGTTTCAGCTTGACGCTCGCAAATGGGTTTCCGCTGCAAAGCACGAGGAGGAGGAGGCGGCGCGTCACACTAACATCACACCACCATCACACCAACATCACACCACCATCACACCAACATCACCGCCACATGCCCTACGCGCGCGCACGCCATTCCAGTCCGTAAAATAACAAACAAAAAAAACTAGCGTGGCTGGCTATCGAACAAGACGGTCACCGCATCGCGCGCTTTCAGATGCGCTTCTGCGCCCGTCTGGAACGCTCTTCCTTCTGATATTAGGAAGCCACTGGAGCTGTGCACTTTTAAATCATAAACTCATTGCTTTAGAAATGCTCTTTTTTGTTTATTTCCATCCCCTGCACCTCCAATTAGCACGGTTGCCTACGTACGGTGGTGCGAAAGAAGTTCAACGTAGATGCATAGAATGACGCGGATGGCTGGATTGTCAGCCGACCGAAACATCCAATTTAGCATAGTGACCCTGCCACGGAAATGCGTAATTTTCCCCACTCCTGGTTCAGAGCCACCGGTGAGCAATGGGTGTCAACCCCATTTTACTCGTTTGAGCTCACATTGATACACGGATAAAATTTACCAAAAAAGATTCCATGGCGTGACCCTCCCGCATATGCCTCTTGAGAATCTGGTTTTCCCGATTAATAAATTAACTTAAAAAAAAGATAAATATATACAGTATTAATTAACATTAACTTTTAAAAAAGGAGGAGCCTGATCATTAAAAAAAAGAAAATAGGTCAAAATGGACAATGTATACTTTTAGGCATTTGGGCCAACAATTAGCAAATATAACAACGCGGAATAAATGAAAAACAAAAGACAAACAGCGCCGGTCTTAGACCCGTGCAGGATTGTTCACAGTTAGTAGAGCTTGGCACATGCAGGCAACTGGCACATTCCATTCATTAGTTAGGGGGGTGGGGGAGTTGTGTGTGTACAGGCTCCTGGACCATTCCATTCATTAGTTAGGAGGGGTGGGGGGGGTGAGAAGACAGGCAAGGGACTGTGCTCTTGTGCGTCGCGTCCAGCACCTCTCAACACCGCACTGCACGCTATTTGCATCTGGAAGCGCGTTGTTCTGCAGCTGAGTAGCAACAACAACAAAAGCGACAAGGCTACGGCCAGAGCAGGCAGCAGATTAAATAATTGATTAATTGGCCAATTTACTGCTTAGCCAATTAATTCAAGAGGGGCCACTCATTTGCTCAAAACAAAGGAAAATGTAAGCGGTCAATATCAGATCAGGAGATGTAGGTGCATGATAATGTGACCAAGAGAATAGCCAATCAGAAAACAACGCCTGGATTTCAAAACCTCACTTTATGAAAACAAGAGCATTCAAAAATGCAAAATTCAGCTCCGACTCCACAAAAGCATCAGCAAGCTGCAGGGAAACATCCTTCTGGATGCAAAGCCGCATGCGTCCCTACGGACCCCGGCACACTGGGATACGTTTGCAGCCAGAATCCTGTTTCCTCTGCTGCACCCTAGAATTTAAAAAAAATGGCCTCCAAAGAATCACTTTGAGTGCTGGAAGCTGTTTTATTTCGTTTTGCTTTGTTGACGACACCAGAGATTTTAAATCCAGGCTGCATTTGCATTCACCTCGGCATACACCTGATTGGCAGCTCGCAGTCACATGATCAAACGCCTCAACATTCCAGGACAGACCGGAGCTGCCCTCCGCCGCTCTTGCCGCCACATGTTCCACATCCTGACACTTTTCGCCAGAGCATCACTATCATCATCAGCAGCAGCACCATCAGGGAAAACCCTCTTCGGGATGCAAAATGCAGCACGGTGGTTCCGAGGCCTCAACTTGCAGTGCGCGGTGCAGTGCGGTTGTGCGAGTACTCCGTGTCCTGTGGTTTGGCCCGGTTAGTGCGAAGATAGTCGCCGTGGAAACCCGAAGACCCACACACCCACCACCACCGTCACCGTCACCACGTGGATCACAGCATCGCCACGGGCATCGCTTTCACCGATGTTTGGTTTTGGGGTCGTACGTAGTGTGTACCTCGTCGCTGGGTGCGACTGGCTCCGGTCGTGCTAGCGGAGTCGGCTCACGTGGCAAAGAGGGGGTCCCCTACACAAAGCCTCCCCCCCCACCATCCCCCCTCCCCCCATTCCCTCCCTCTACCAACCCCAGCGGGGAGCGATCTCAGATAACGACGATGACGATTGTGGTGATAATTTATGTACGTATGTTGAACTTCTTTGGCACCGCAAGTAGCCAACCGTGCTAATCGAAGGCGACGACTAGAGTCGCGATGATGATGCCGACGGCGATGATCACGATGGAGGCGCTTGACGCCGACTGGCAACTGTGGCGATAATGACGGCAATGAAAACGAGGATGACGACGCGACGGTGAATCTCATGACGATGGCGAGGATTGATAACCCCGGGGAGGAGCTCGTGGTGCCCACCCAATGGCTCTCTCACTCGAGACCACAGATGCCCCCCCCCCCTCCCTCGTGCCACGAGGCGACTTCACCACCGCACGATGATCACAAGGATGACGGCCATGTCCATGATAATAATGAAGATGATTATAACGATGGTGCAAAACAACTCCTGGCATCTTCCCCGATGGATCTCTCTCCCAGAAATACATGCCAACGTTGGCCCAACGTTGGCATGGTCGTCGGAACCGCTGGCCCAAATAAGGCCGAATGTAGTTCCAACATTTACCGGTCTCCTACACGGGACACCAAACGTTGCTCCTTCCCATCCACGACCCTTTGCCACGTGACCGCCATCTCGCTAAGGACCACTCTCGCAAGGAGGCCAAAGGAAAATTGAGGCGAAAAGAAACGCAAATGTAATTTGACGCTTACTTATTTTCTGGCACGGCGCGGTCCCGTCACCAAATTCGCCAACACTCTGGCTAACAACCTCCCGGTGGGTTCCCCCGGGAGGGGGAGTGGTGGTGGTGGGGGGGGGGTACAGGGATTCAAACCCAGACCCCGGGCCCTCTGACCGGTGCCCGCACGGTTTCCGCGACGCGGTGGACCCTGCCGAAGCGTGGATGTTAATCGGGGTGGACCTGCCCGTCGCCCCCCCTAACCTCCAACCGCGACCACGCGGCCCGGTCCGACATGTGCTCAGCGAGCCGGGGAACCTACCCTCACACGCCTGCGGAACTCTTATCAAAACCTGGCTGTGGGTAAATCGACATCGGCAAGGGGGCTGGAGGGGTGGGGGAGGGATAAGGAGGGAGGGAGGGGATGGGAGACACGTGGTGATGCTACAAAATAGATGAGCGGACAAAGACGTCTTCATTCATTATCTCTCGTCTCTCGCACGTAGGCGAGATGTGAACCGCCTCGCCTGGTATACAAGAGTTCGTGGGTTTGATCCCGACCATGAAGCCTACTGTATATTTGGAATTTGCATGTTGTCTGTCCCCGCGTGGTCGCGTGGATTTTTCTCCGGGTACCCCCGGTTTTTCCCTCCACATTCAGAATCAACGTCACGCGTTCAGAGAGTGTTTGGCCGCAACAAATTCCCACGCGATAGGCCACTTGGTTGCGCTATCATTTGTGGCCAGGTCGCTTCAGAAAAATATCAGTGTGTGGCTTTATACCTGGTAAAATAAAAGGTTTAGTTCAATGGTTTACACAAAAGTTTTTCTTACACAACTCAACGGCCCCACCACGGGGGCGCAAGTGTGCGTGTGTGCGTGTGTGCGTGTGTGCGTGCGTGCGTGTGCCTCGTTGTGTGCGTATGCACGCGCACGAGCTTGTACTTGGGAAGTCAGTGTGGCTAGCATACACGTGTGCACACGCGTTTTTGTGCACGTGCGAACGTGTGAACGCATACATCTCGAAAGGACAAACCTCCGCAACGAGCGGCCTACTTGCCGCCTGCGGTCCGCGCCACCGCCCCCCCGGTCAGCTGTGAACCGTCGCTCCGCGGCGAGGGGGGATTAAGGTAATGGGCAGCCCTTGCACTACCGCCGATTGCAGTTATAGGGTCGGCGAATACTGCACGGGGGACGTGCGTTTGCGGCCGTGCGATCACCGTACCTGCTGAGGATGAGAGCCATGCCGTTGCTGTTCCGGACTGTGTTGTTATTCTGCGATGAAAAAACACCCACAAAAGACAGGTAAGGAACTTCTTCAAGACAGGCAAGGAACTAAATGATCTCCCGCGGGTCGCCGACGAGGACGTGAAACGGAAACCATCGATGTGCGTCGTTCCACGTCGCTCGTTAAACCCAAATAAACGATGGTCGGGCACAAAGACAAAGATCCCCCGTGTAGCCTTTAACAGACCGTTGGGGCAAGTGCTGGTAGCGAGCACCTATGAAGGCCGGAACGGCACACGAGGGGGCGGGTGGCCAGCACCACGCCCGACCGCCTTTGTCTCCCCAGTGGCGCTGTTTACTACACACCGCACCAGGTACTCGCTTTTGAGGCCGAGTCGACCTAGGGGAGGCTGAGGACCCGACGAGATGACCGTCACTGGTGGTGGACCGTGAGCCGGAATCGAACTCGGGTAGCCAGGTCCGTAGCGCAGCGCACGCTAACCGCTACATTACGAGGGTTGTAGTGTCAGGCACACGCGAACACACAGCACAAAGCACCGCAACTCCAACAACCACAACAACCACAACAACAACAGCGCGACACAGTGACAAGGTTGTTGGCCTATGGCATGACTGCCCCCCACCCCCCGTCAGAGGAATGTGAAGGGGGGGGGGGTCCCAAATCGAGACGAGTGACGTCCCCTGATGCTCGTCCTTTAAGCCGGGAGACAATTTAGACTTTTGGACATCAACCCTATTATTAACTCGTGAGAAAGCGACTACGTATTAAAAAATCGCGATGTCATTATGAGACCTCCTTTGCCAGTAACAAGATATAGTAATAGGTTGTGTTGTGGTTATTGCAAACATGATGCCTTGAATAAAGGTGTCAGTTTTTGTGCCAGTTAAAAGGGTAAAACCTATAACTAAATCGCGATGTCATTATGATTATTATTAGCTACGCACGGCACGGCAACCGCGACACGAGCGGCCAACACTCCCCGTACGGTACTGCCGGGCTGCCGGCAGGAGGCAGTACAGCAAGCAGGTTTCTCCCAGACCTCGTCAATGGAACCATTTTTGCCAGCATCAAAAGTGATGCAAAAGTAAAGAGCACGTTTTCAACCCCCTTTTTTTTGGCAATAACAACAGTTTGCGTTAAGATGATCAAACACCAAACGGATACCCCTCTCGCAAGGATTCTGTACTGTCACGCCTTCGTGCCGTTTCGCTTTTTGGCGTCGTTCTCTGGTCCGACACTGGCGAGACCGGGGCTGCAAAGAAGGCGGCTGCCGTCTCAGGTGTAGTCCAACAGTTTCACTGCGTGGTTTAATGCGGTACTCGATTCCTTGCAAAATGAAACTATTTGGTGCTTGAACATCGTTACGCAAACTGTTTTATTGCCACGAAGGATAAAACCCTATTGTTATATTTTGCATGCCTCAACTTAGTTATGCGTCATGTTCCCTGCTAAGTTGAGGGTTCATCGACTGTTGTCACAGGGCCTTAGGGCTGTGCGCACGGCCAGGCCCGGACTGGCCATAGGCCACGGGCAGTTCGTAGGGCACATGCCCGGTGGGCCGGTTCATTCCCTAGGGACGGTGCCCCGGTCTGTGTGGGGAAATTGCACGTGCGATCAGAGCTTTTTTTAGTTATTACCTCGAATGTGTACGCTTCAATGTCACCTTCCGTGTGACGGAGCGGGTCCGGCACAAACCGGTCCACGTGCCCCAATCCCACCAGCCCCACCAACCCCGTGTGGCTCAAGGCGACCCGTAACACGGGGGGGCGCCACCAACAACCAACGCAGACCAGATCCGCAGCTCCGTGTTAAATGGAGCGTTGGGGGGGGGGGGGTCGAAGGTCGTAGACATTGCACATGACGGCAAAGGATGCACCGTGGGACAAGTGGCACGTGGCTATGGAGTCATCCCCACCCCACCCCCCACCCCCCCACCCCTTCCCCTCACCATTGCACAATGGGTCGCAGTCGGCACAGCGTCCGCGCGAGGCCGTTTCCCCGCCAAAGGTAGCATACCGCTGCTCTCCATTGCCGGCCACAGGCCAAGCGGTGGACATTCCACATTACCGTGGAGGGGTGATCCGGACTATCCGCAGAACGGCCACCGTTCAACGGAGCTAATTATTAGTCCAAAAGAACCGCTATCCCTGACCTTAAGCTCTGATCCCAACTTTAAAAGTTCGTCCGTAACATTGGCTCTGACTGTCACCTGAGCATTAGCCTCAGTGTTAACCCAAGGCCTATAATGCACAGTTATAACCCGCAGTTTTAAAATCACCAGAACCCAAACTCTACCCATAAACCCCAACCCATAAGCCTTAGCTCTCAGCCTAACCCCAACTCTAACCATAACTGCAGAACCTAACCAGAGCTCTGGCTCCGATCATCGCTCTACGCCTACACCCCCTTACTAGAACCCTGACCATAACCCCCTAACTCTGCCTTTAAAGCTCCCCAAGCCTATCCCGAGCTGTAATCATAGCCCTGGCTCGAAACAGTTGCAGTAACTAGCGTGGGGGCAGGTGCCTTGCTCCCCCCCCCCCTGCCCCGGTAGCCAAAGCTACGAGTTGGGGGGGCCCCCCTTGGCAACCACCATGAGGCATGTTTTGAACAACATTGTAAAAGAACAAAACACTTACGTAATTATGTGATCAAGCAAGAGCAGCCGCAATATGTAATAGCCGAGGTGCGACCTTGCGATACGAATCAAATATTGGGGGCCCCACCTGACCCATTGCCACACCCCCCCCCCCCCCCCCCCCGAGCTGATGATGTCGTTACGACGCCACTGGCCGTACCCAGTCTACACCACACTGCTTACGATAACGAAGCATTACGGTAAGCAGCCTCCACGGAGGAGTCACTGCCCGTCTGGCACCGCACGGCACTCCGGAGGGCATGCCAACATAACATGCAAATATCCCCCGTACAGCCTACACAGGCTGTTTAGGAGCAAATGCGGCGAACGGACACCTTTGAAACGCACGCACGCACAAAGACGCGCACGCACGCTGGTGTACATCCAGTCCAGGATCGTGCAACACACGGCAGGCATCGTCAATAACCACCGCGTCCTCGTGAGCAAAGGGTTCACACGGAACACTGCAAGCGAGACATAGGACATGGGACATAGGAAACGGCACACGGGGCACTGCACGTGGGACACAGGACACTGCAAACGCACACAGGACACTGCAAGCGAGACACTGCAAGTGGAAGGACGGGACACTGCACAAGGGGACACTGCACACGAGAAGCTCCAATCGTGAATTGTTTTTGCCAAAGCGACCGTCAGAAGTGCGTCCGCAGAAGAAAACAGCAGTGGCAAGTGTGCAGCTGCAGCAGCAAGAGGCACGGCGGGCACGTGGGGTGCCACACGCGGGCTGTGCGTGTGGCTGTGTGCGGCTGTGAGTGTGGCTGTGTGCGGCTGTGAGTGTGGCTGTGTGCGGCTGTGTGCGGCTGTGTGCGGCTGTGTGCGGCTGTGTGCGGCTGCGCTCGTCTATGCGTGTGGCTGTATGCAGGCTGTGCATGTGGTTGCGCCCGGGCTGCGTGTGGCTGTATGCAGGCTGTGCATGTGGTTGCGCCCGGGCTGCGTGTGGCTGCGCACGGCTGCGGCCGAGTCCATGTGCGGCCGCGCGTGTGGCAGTGCATGGCGAGCGTTTACTGGGAGCCGCGAGCGAGCGCGGTGGTGACGCTAAGTGCTGGAATCCTCCCGCAGCCACCAGAACGCCGGGGCGCAAACCAGCGCCGAGGTGAACGAGATGAACGACATCGGCTGTCCGCACCGGAGGGGGTCACGTGCGCGTACGGGGGCGCGCGTGTGTGCATGGGGATGTGTGCGTACGGACGTGTACGAGAATGAGTGTGCATGCAAGTGTGTGTGTGAAAAGTGAGGTTAGTGTGTATGTATGTATGGTGTAGCGTGTGTGTGCGCGCGTATAGTGGGGTTAGCGTGTATGTATGGTGCAGCGTGTGTGTGCATCGTGGGGTTAGCGTTTATGTATGGTGCAGCGTGTGTGTGCGTGTGTATCGTGGGGTTAGCGTGGATGCGTGGTGCGGCGTGTGTGTGCATCGTGGGGTTAGCGTGTATGTATGTCGCAGTGGATGCGTGCGTGTGCATCGTGGGGTTAGCGTTTATGTATGGTGCAGCATGTGTGTGCGTGTGTATCGTGGAGTTAGCGTGGATGTATGGTGCAACGTGTGTGCGTGTGTATCGTGGGGTTAGCGTGGATGTGTGGTGCAACGTGTGTGCGTGTGTATCGTGGGGTTAGCGTGGATGTGTGGTGCGGCGTGTGTGTGCATCGTGGGGTTAGCGTGTATGTATGGCGCAGTGCGTGCGTGCGTCCACACGATTCCCAGCGAGGGCGTGGAGGGGAAGCGGGGATGGGGAGGCAGCACAAGCAGGAAGCAGCCACAACAAGGAGACGTAAACAATCGACAAAACACAAACGGAACAAAGCACGGGCGGCTACCTTCAATTTTAGGCAGAAATAACCAGATCAAGGTCGCCCAGAGCTCCAGACACGCCCAGCTTGCTCGCCCGCCCGTTCACTCACTCACTCGCTCGCCCACCAACTCAACAATTCACTCACTTATTAACCGAGTCACACACTCGCCCATCAATTTAACAATTCACTCACCGACTCAACAATTCGCTCGCTCATTCACCAACTCACTCGCCCGCCGACTTAGACCACCTCACTCTCCCACTCATGCCGCACCTACTCACTTACTAAACCACTACTCAACTATCTGCTCATTCACTCACCCGCTTGTGCGTTCATTTAAACACCAACTTGACTTACCATCTACCCGATCGCTCGCACACCCACTCACCAAATCGTTTAACCACTCACTTGCTCGCTCACCCATACGCTCAAGTCACTAAACCACTCAATTAATTAAATTACCCTTCTCATGCACTCGATCACTCACTCAAAATTCAATCACCCATCCACTCAACCAATATGATAGTGGCCGGATGACTCAGGGGACGCACAGTGGCCATCGGAATGACTACGGTACACTGGCACCGCTCAGATCCTGCGATAAAACCAAGATTTCAGTCGCCCTATGATTGACCTGGGTTCTCTCCTGGAGGATGTAGATGATCTCAATCCAGTGGCACAAAGACAAAGATGCGCCGTATAGCCTTAACAGGCTGTTGGGGAGAGTGCTGTTATCTTCAGTTTCAGTTTTCAGTTTCAGTTTATTTATTTTGGTATAGCCCTGTGAGCCATCCGGCTCTTGAATCGGGTGCAACCACAACAAACAAAAAAACAAAAACACGAACAAGAAAAACATCTTAAAGTGACTATGTGACTGTGCAAACAAAAAATCCATGAAAAAAACAGCTAAATATTCCTGAAAAAAGCACCGTACACCAACGCTGTGTGCAAAAAAATCCCAGTGGGATGCAAGTCAAACAACAACAACCACAAGAAAACTTAGATTAAGGCCATCAGTCTAACTCCGTACTACAACAAAACAAACATGTCCAAACCAAAAAAACTTTTCGAAATCACCAAAAAATAAAGCCATAACAGTGAACACAGGGACTGTGACCGAATTTTTACAATAAACTACATAAATAAAATGTAATACCAAATCCTAGAGCCATAGCTGGCTGCATGAGTTACTCCACAACAACAGAAGCATCAGTCGGAGTATAAAATTTTTCAATGCACCTTTAAGATCAGCACGCTAAATCAAAATACAGATAATACTTTGCAGCGTCATCCGGAACAAAACATTTTATTTTAATTTACACCAATAAATAGCAGTGGCAGCTAGGGGTGTACAACTCCTCTAGGGCAGTTTTGAGAGAAGATCTCTTTGCTAGCGATTCAAGTTGCAGTTTATTGGCAATAGCATTCCAGACCCTGGGGGCATCAATAGCAAAGGCCCTTCCTCCAGTTTTTGTACGGCAATAGGGAATGTGAAGCTGATAAATGAGCGAAGACTTGAGGTCAAATTTGTTCTTTGAAACAGAGAGGAGATCCAGCAGGTAGTCTGCGGATTTTTTTGTAAGTACATCGTGAATAAATAAGGCCGGCACGGCACACGAGGGGGTGGGTGGCCAGCACCACGCCCGGCCGCCTTTGTCTCCCCAGTGGTGATCCCGACACACCGCACCAGCGACTCAAGTCGACCTAAGAGAGGCCCAGTACTGGTTCAAGATAATCACCAACGACGATGAGCGGGAATCGAACTCAAATCGTCCTGGTTCATAGCACAGCACGATAACCGATATAGTCCTAACAGACTTTTGGAGCAAGTGCTGTTAGCGAGCACCTATGACGGCGGGCACGGCGCACGAGGTGGCAGGTGACCTTTGTATCCCCAGTGGCGATGTTTAAACACCGCATCAGGTACTCATTTGAGGCCGAGTTGACCAAGGGGAGTCCGAGGACCTGTTCGATAATCATCACTGGGTGTTGGCCGTGAGCGGGCATCGAACTCGGGTCGCCGGTGTTCAGAGTGCAGCGCGCAAACCTCTACAAGCGCCGTTAGCGAGGAACGCCACACACATACACACACACATACACACACACATACACACACACATACACACACGTACACACACGTACACACACGTACAGACACGCACACACACACCCACACCCACACGCGAACGCAACTCCCACCTGCCCGTAGTCGGGAGTCGGGGGCTGGGAGACGTGCATGGGGGGCGGGGGGAGGGCGGCCCTCCCGTCCGGGTGCGAGTACACCGAGTCGTAGTCGGGGGGCGGCAGCACGAGGCCCGCCCCCCCCTCCTTCTCCAGCAGATTCCCCATGCTCACGCTGCGCACCAGGCGAGAGCTGGGGGGCACGGGGGGTGTTGGGGGAGGCAGGGGGGGTGGCCATGCAAGAGGTACGGGCGGGGAGCATGCGGGGGGACATGGGGGGGGGGGGGGGGGGCACGGGCGGCATGCGGGGTACACGACGTGGGAACGTGCGAGGGATGTTGGGGGGGCACGGGAGAGCATGCGGGGGATACGGGGACGGGGTCACGAGGGGGTTATTGTAAGGGGGGGGGGCACGGCCGGCATGCAGGAGGTGCAGGGGGGGGGGGGCGCAAGGGAGCGATGTCAGCAGGGGGTGGGAGAGCAAGACGACCCCCCCCCCCCCTTCACCCAGGATCCACCCCCCACTTCCCCTAACCCCAAGGGGATCTCGCTCAGGGGGCCGATTCATAATGTTCACAATGGCCGTGTCGGACACGCACAGAGCCGGCCGGGCACTGCTGGGACTCTGGGTTCGGACAAGAGTCTCCGCTGCTCGTGATGGCGACGAGCGGCACCACGAGAGCCGATGGCTCGCTCGAGGAGAGGCTCGCACCAACTTTTGGCCGATTTTGGCGAAATTCCAGCTCTCCGAGAATCCACACAATCGGTTTGGCGGGCGCGCCGCGGACACGCTCAGCGCCGAGCGGTACAGACGGTGCCGTCCCCGACTAGGGGCGGACCAACCGGTCTCGCTGCAGTGCGGTCACCTAGTGAGTCACACCTTGCCCCGCGCGTGCTCTTCGCACGAGGTGGCGTGGCCGCTGGGCTGCGGCGGTTCCGAACCGGCTCGTGGAAGCCCGACGGAGGCCGCGATCAACTTCCTTCGCCCCCCCCCCCCCGCCCACCCCAGCCATCCGTGCCGTCGACTCCCTGCCACCGTTCAAATCCAGGCTCAGGAGCCACCTGCTCTTTACTGATTGTGACCTGACTGCCCCTCTCTCGTACACTAGACCAGAGACCCATGGGCTCGCACAGAGACCTACGACTGTCTGTCTCTATCCCACACTCGTATAAAAGACCCACAGACTAGCATAGAGATCTACAAGCGCCTGCCTGTGTCCCCCGCTCCCCCCTAATAATTAGGACAGCAGCAGCATCTTGAGATACGGTTGAATTCGGGCGTGTAAATTTACGCTCATTCAAATCGGTTACCGCTAAACGCGATGAAAAAGAAACCGGTAAAAACCGGTTAAGTCCCCAAGTATAAATTAAAATGTCTGACGAGACCAAATCCGACGTTCTTGACCTCCCTCCAGCAACGGTGCCAGCCAGCGAGCGAGCGAGCGAGCGAGCAAGCGAGCAAGCAAGCGGTTGCGGGGCTGCGCCTGGGCCACGTTTCACTGAGAAACGAGGGCGCGTCGTCGCAAGCACACGGTGATGTTTGTACGCCCGCGCGCGCACGTGCGCGTGTGTGTGTGTGCGTGTGCACCAATGGGCCCCCCCCCCCCCTTCATCACCGAAATCCCAGCGGAATCGGTCACCGGATTGGATCCGGACGTTCCGAGCTGGCGGCCGCTTCTGACAACCGCCCCAGCGGTCGCCCGGCCGTCATTTAACGGTCGTCGTGAGGAGACCCACGCGGCGCCGCGTCCGGAAATCGCGCCGCAGGATCCAAGCCGTCCCCCCCCTCACCTCTGCTTGTCGTCCTCCGTGGAGCTCTCCATGGCGCGAGTGTAGGAGTAGGGGAACCAGCCCTTCCTGCAGAGTCACGGGGGGAGGGGACACATAGATAGAGAAACATGGGGAGGGTGTGGGGGGGGGACACAGGGAGAAACAGAGACACAGGGAAACAGAGAGACACGAGTAGACGGAGACACGGACAGACGCAGAGAACAGAAACATGGGGAGACGCACGTTAGCGGTGCTGGCCAACAGACAGGAGATTCCCTTTGCCTCTCAACACTCCAGGAGACGATACCCCACGCTGCATCTGTCACCGTTATGACTCACCAGCCCATCCCAAACCACTCGCCCAAATCTCCCTGTCTACTGGGCCTCCCCCGAGGTCGACTCAGCCTTAAATGAGTAACTCGTGCGGTGCATGGCACATCAACACTGCGGAGACCAAAGGCGGTCAGGCTCGCTCACGGCACCTGCCCCAGCAGTCTGCAGAGGCTACATGGGTTAACTTTGTCTTTTACACACGAGCCTGTGACGCGCATGTTTGTGTGCGTGGTGCTGTTTGTGAACGTTACTAGGGAGAGGGCGACCCTGAGATAAACCCACAACCACCACGCCACTCACACAGCCTCCAGCGCAAGGTGTGGCGCCTGTGTGTGTGTGTCTGTGTGTCCGTATACAGGTATGTGAACGTTTGTGTGTGTGCGTGCGTTGGTGCATGCGAGTGGGAAACAGTGGTGCAGTGGCTAGCGCGCTGCGCTACGAACCCGGCGACCAGAGATCGATTCCCACTCACGGCCAACGACAAATATCTGCACCGGTACCGATCCTCCGCTAGGTCGACTCGGCCTCAAATTAGTACCTAGTAACGAGCATAAACATCGCCAATGGAGGCAAAAAAGTGGTTGGGCACGGTGCTGGCGTCTGCGCGGTCATTTATGCTCGCTAACAGCACTTGCCACGGACTGCCTTGATAAGGCTATACGGGGGATTTTTGTCCTAATCCATCTCCAAACTTTGAAGAGCCCCCAACACACATTGCCCACCACCCCTCCACCCACCCAAACAATAATCTCATTGCTAAGCAATAAACCACGGTGTAGCCATAAAAAAACCGATTGCAAAGCCACAGCCAACCCTGGCACAACAATTTGATGCAGATTACGACGCTCATCACGGCCTAACACTGATGGTTTTTGGGCACGTACTTCAGTTGCAACGCCAGCTGGTGATTAATAGGCCGTCAGGCCCGGTGACGCTGTCATTAGGCCGGCCGCTTGACTTGGAACGCGCGAGTTTCAAGTCCGGGTCAAGGTTCGGCTCGGCCCATTATTCCACTAGGGCATATATATGTATGTTTACGCGCGTGTACGCGCGTGTTTGTATGTGTGTGTACGTGCGTGTATGTGTGTGTGCGCTGCGATCCCGGCCTCCCCGAGGTCACCTCAAAATGAGGACCTGGAGCGGAGTAGGGTAAACATCGCCACTGGGGAGACAAAGGCGGCCGGGCGTGGTGCCGGCCACCCACCCCCTTCGTGCGCCGTGCCGGCCTCCGTAGGTGCTGCTCGCTAAAAAGCACTTGCCCCGACGGCCTGTTAAAGCCACACGGGGGAACTTTGCATTTGTGCGTGCGTGCGTGCGCGCGTCTCTCACTGTGCCGTGCGCTCGTTGACGCCGTAGTGCCAGCCGTCGCGCGCCGCGGGCACCAGCAGCGCGATGTTGTCGCCCGCTTGGAACGAGAGCAGCGAGGCGTCGCCCCGGGAGTCGTGCGCGAACGCCGCCACGACGCGCGGGCGCTGTCCCGGCGCCGCCGTCACGCGGTTCAGCCCCGTCGACATGGACGTCGTGCGTGGGAACGGACCCGACGAAGGGTCTGCTGGGGGGGGGAGGGGAGGGGGGGGAGAAGTGGGGAGGAATGGATACGTGCTTGGTTTAAGTTTTTTTATTTCAGTTACGTTTATTAGGTGCAAGCTTTACTACCCGGCCCGGCGTCGCCCGAGACTTGGATTCTTGTCTTGGATGAATACACGGCCTACGCGGAGGCACGCCGCGTGACGCTGCCCCGCATGCGGGTGACATCACGGACGTGACGTCACCGCTCACTTGCCGTGCAAAATATATATCCATTATAAATACAAAAGTGTATTTTTTTATACTTTGTGCATTGTGCACAGTCTGGAAGCTACCCACATGCCAAATTTCAAGCTTGTTGCATGTTGGGAAGTATGCTAAACATTTCGAACAGACACACATTCACAAATTTCCCTTTTATATATATAGATAACCCTGTGAGCCATGCGGCTCTTGACTCGGGTGCAACCGCAACAAACAAAAACATGAACAAGAAACATGTTTGAATGCGGGCGTTAATGACTCAATGGAAGGAAGGAATCAAGTAATGGAGGGAGGGATAAATGAATGAACGTGAGAAGGGCGGGGGAAAGAGGAGTGATGAATGAATAGGGGATGATTTAAATGAATGGAAGGAAAGAAGGGGGAGGAGAATTCAAGGAAGAGATTAAATAATGGAGAAAGTCGAAAGAAAGAAGCGGTGAGTGAATTGGAGGCAGTGAGGAAGGAATTAACAGGAGGGAGGGGTGCAAGCAATAAGTGAGATGGGCGTCAGTGGGGTAGGGAAGGATTCAGAAGGAGGGAGGGAAGGATTCAGTGGGAGGGAGGATATTTTAATGAATCTTGAGTTACGAGGGCTCCATCGTGAGCTGATAATTAAACACGTTATTGACACAGGCCGCAGGGAGGGGCTCAGAGCTGCTCTCCTTATTAATTTTGATTTGTGTGGATTTTTAAGCCGATTAGATGTACCCACTTACACACACAGCGCACCCACGCACCTCCCCCACCAACCCACTCAACCACTCACTTCACCCACCAACCCACTCAGTAACCCAAAAACCCACCTCACCCACCACTCAGTAAACCACCAACCTGCTCACTCACTCGGTAACCCAAGCACTCACCCACACCCATCCACTCACCCACTCACAAATGCAGCCACGGAACCACTCAATCATTCCGGAACCAAAGCACTCGCCAAACAACCCACGCACCCACTCACTCAGTCGCTCATACAACAACCCCAGTAAGTATTCACTCACGCACCAACCCACCCATTCACAAACTCACCACTCAACCACAGCACAGACGACAACTTTCATCTTCAGCAGAAGTAACCGCCTCAAGGTCAATCAAAGCTTCACTATCCCACAAAGCTCACTCGCTTCGCTCAACCACCCCCTCGCCCCCTCCTCCCCACTCCCCACCCCTCCTCACCAGTGGTGAGCACGCTGGGGCGCTCAGTGACGTTCTTGCGCGACGGGAGAGTGTTGGCGTAGAAGTCGGGCGGCGGTTTGCTGAGCGGCGAGCGGGGTTTTTGCTCCGTGCCGTAGAATCCACCATCGCCGCCGAATGGCGCCGGACCGCCCGGCCCGTCCAGTTTTAGCGGCTCTAGCTTTATCTGATGCGGCACAGGCAGGAGGACAAGGAGGATGACTGTTGGGGCGAGTGCTGGTCGCGAGCGGGAATCGATCTCGGGTTGCCGGGTTCGTCACGCAGCGCGTTAACCACGACACTTCCGTTCGACTACACTCACCTCACACTACAACAACAACAACAACAGCCACCGTTCGGCACTCCACGGCGCTTGTGCCAGGATAGGTGAACTTTGAGGCTGTCACGTGACGTGTCGACGGCTCACTGATGGCAAGATGCCTTGCTCACCACGCACGCTCACCACCCTCTTACAACACACGCACGCACACTCACAACCCTCTTACACCACGCACGCTCACCACGCACGCTCACCACGCACGCTCACCACGCACGCTCACCACGCACGCTCACCACGCACGCTCACCACGCACGCTCACCACGCACGCTCACCACGCACGCTCACCACGCACGCTCACCACGCACGCTCACCACGCACGCTCACCACCCTCTTACACAACACGCTCACCACGCACGCTCACCACCCTCTTACACAACACGCACGCTCACAACCCTCTTACACCACACACGCTCACAACCCTCTTACACCACACACGCTCACAACCCTCTTACACCACACACGCTCACCACCCTCTTACACCACACGCACGCACACCACACGCACGCTCACCACCTCATGCTGTGATCGGCCGATGCCCTTGAGCGCCGCGAGCTCGGGGGGGATGTGCAGGGTGTTCTGTGTGGGCACGGGGTTGGAGATGTAGTCGTTTCCACCGCCACCGCCGCCGCCGCCGAGGCCGCCGGCGCGCAGGGCGCTGGCGTCCAGCGCGGAGACCGGCGCCAGCGCCGCGTCGGGGATCAGCATCACGTCGCTGCCCACCTCCAGCCACATCGGCAGCTTCTGCGAGATCAGATCGGACGCCTGCGCGGGGAGACGGGAGGCACGGGGGCGGGGGGGAGATGGGGACACGGGGTACACGTTGGCACGGAGACACGTGGGCACGGGGGACACAAGGGGATTAAGGGGCAAAGGGGGGACGAAGAGGTGACATCAGCACAGGCACACCGTCACGATGTGCCTGTGCAGAATGTTCTGGTGAGATGGAGAAAGTCATCGCGAGGAGAGGCACACCATGATGTCAAAAGGAGATGCACAGCAGTGAGTGCAAGGGAGTGTAGATACCATGTACCGTGCTGGCCTTCACGAGGTGCTCGCGAACAGCACTCGCCCCAACAGTCTGTTGAGGCTATACAGGGGGGGGGGGTCTTTGTCTTTGCGTGTGGCTAAGGAAGTGAATGGCTGTGTGAATGAGTTAAGTCGGTGAGTGTGCAAATAACCGAAAAGGGTGAATCGGCGAATGCATGTGGGGAAATCATTGAATGAAGCAGTGACTGAATGCTCAAATGACCGAGTGAAACAGGCGACCGAGTGAATGAAACGAGCGAGCGAGCGTGAGAACGAACGAAAGCCTAGCGAGCACCTTGCTGTGGTAGGTGGTGAGCGCTTGTGCCATGAGGCACTGGCGCTCGATAAAGTAGGAGTAGCGGCGCCGCTCCTCCAGCAGCACGGAGCGGTAGCCGTCCGCCACGAGGCTGTTGACCTCCTGCTGCTTTGCCGCCACCAGGTCCGCCACCTGTGCGCAAAGAGGCAAAGGCCCCCCCCCGCTTTGAGGCCATCGGCTGAAGTGGCGAAGGCTCGCTGCCCGCAGGTCAACGGGACAGACCCAGGTGCCATGGGGGGGGGTTGACCAACCGAGATGACTGGCGGATTTGCACCACTTGCGCTCCCCACCGTGCCAACTCACTGCGTCTTAGCCGCCCGGCGCTTCGCTCGTTGCTGCGAGCGTCGCTCCTCCGCCCTCCGCCTTTGCTGAAAGCTAACTTCTAAGTTGTACGCCTTTTGGCGTCTTCTGGTCCAACACCAATGGAGACTAGGTTCTAAGAAAAGCTGTCTCGGGTGTGAACCAATCAAATTCAAGGACAGTGCATATTATTATCAGAGTTGTCTTTTTTGTTTGCATTTTGACTGCTTGTGTTGTGTTTATTGCAAACATGATGCCTTGAATAAAGGTGTCAGTTTTTGTGGCAGTTAAAAGGGTAAAACCTATTCCTATATCCTGTTTCTGGCAAAGGAGGTCTCATAATGTTAATGCTCACTCCGAGCCCTCAATACTCTGATAGTGCGCTGTTTTTGAGTTGTACGCCTTTTGGCGTCTTCTGGTCCAACACCAATGGAGACTAGGCTCTAAGAAAAGCTGTCTCGGGTGTGGACCAATCAAATTCAAGGACAGTGCATATTATTATCAGAGTTGTCTTTTTTGTTTGCATTTTGACTGCTTGTATTGTGGTTATTGCAAACATGATGCCTTGAATAAAGGTGTCAGTTTTTGTGCCAGTTAAAAGGGTAAAACCTATTCCTATAGCTAACTTCTTAATAACTTTCTTTTTGTGTTGAGTTTGTTGTCCTTCCCCCCTGCACCTCCGATTAGCACGGTTGGCTTCGTACGCTGCGAAAGAAGTTCAACATAGAACCACCCAGTTAGCATCCTTCACGAGCCTCCTCCAAGGAGGCCAATCTTGACACCGCCGGTAGCAGTCATTGGCAAGTCCCATCTCTTCTCTAGCCAGCGCCACGTTGGCACGAGAACGCATGCTTAGGCGCGCCCGCACGTCCACGTGGCTCCTTGTCTCAGCCCCAGGCACACAAAGGCTGGATTAGCGCGCCCCCATTGCCGGCGAGTAAGAGGAGGCGATGGCACCGCCAGGAAATATTTAGCGTTGGAAAGCGATCGGCGATTGCCGAGACAATAGAACGGCGACGCAGCGCGCCCCACCGGCACGCCTCAGCCAGGAGCGGGGGGGGTTTCCTCCAGTGATACCAGATTAAACACGCTCGCTACGTGCCGGCATCGAGGATTATGAGTAATAAATAAACGGATTTTAAAAAAAAATTCGAAAGGAGAGTACTGTCATTGTCGTGTACAGAGATACATATCCGGAGTCACAACCACAGATTGTTCAGGCGGCCTGCGGGCACGTTTCTTAAACCGCGCCCAACTACCTGCCCCCTCCCCCGCCTCTGTCCACCCGGCAGTTGAAACAGGTTCACCGCGGTGAAGTCGACCGGAAGTTGCCACATGTGCGGTGGGGTAAAGCATGGGTTACTCACCCCCCCCCCCCGCCTCTTCTAAAACGTCAGGCCAGCATGGAAGAGGAGGCCAAAAATTCCCTCTAGGGAGGGGGAAGCTTCGCTACAGCTTCCGCCTAGCCGCAAGGCACCTTCCGCCACTGTGGCAAGACGTGAGCCACCTCGCCTGGTTATGTAGGTGGTCATGGGTTCGATCCCAACCCCGACACCTGCTGCTGTATATTCGGAGTTTGCGATTTCTCCCTCCCCGTGGTCGCGTGGATTCTTCTCCAGGTCCTCCAGTTTTTCCCTCCACATTTGGAATCAACGTCACGCGTTTAGATCATTTGGCTGCAATAAATTTCCACATGATGATAAGCCATTTTCGTTGAGCCATCTTGTGTGGCCGGGTTCACTTCTGAAGAAGAGCTACGTAACTCAGTCCGTGCCTTACCTGGGTAAAATAAAAAATAGTTCATAGTTTTAGTCCAGTGGGGGGGAGGGGGGGGGGGTTGAGAACTAGCGAATTGCAGGGCTGCACCTTTATCATTAGCGCTGAGAGTGGAGGGTTCCACCCACGGATTCCCCCCACGGATTCCCTGCCCATGAAGGAACGTTTGTTTTTCATGGCCATACAAACCCACGCTGCCCACATCATCGCTAGGGTCAAACAGCAAACCCCGAGTCATCGTCGTCGTCACCACCACCACCGTGAGCCCGTACGGGGGCTAATTCGTCACCTCCACACGGACAATAAAAGTTCAAGGGGTTTGTCCGTACGGCCAAAAACCACTCCACCACCGTCATTCAGAAAGCACACCCACGGTGTCTCAAGCACGGTCCCCCCTGCGTAAGCACTGTGCAAAGGGTGGAACCCCAACACGGGTAACAGGCCCTTGCCCTCCCCCTCCACTGTCCCTCACCCTCCCCCTCCACTGTCCCTCACGCCGCCCCCCCCATCCTTTCAACTGACAAAGGTGCAGCAGATCACCCAACTCCCTTTGGGTTTCTACGGGGAGGTTTAAAGACTCGTTCTTTTCTGCACTTCTCGCCAATGTCAACCAATTGCTACTTGCATCACGCCATTAGGTTCAGTGTCCTTCATTGCAAAGCCTGCGCGCATGGGGTTACTGGCGGCCCCCTGCTGGCCTTTAGTGTGCCCCCCCCAACGATACTAACCCCATTGTCGTGCTGTCAAACCCCCAATGGTTTAAAACGTGTGGCGGCCCTCACACACCGATGATGTTTCATCGGGTCACTTTCACCCGATGCTCCCCCTCTGAAAATCGGTGAAGAACGACTGCCGTGGGTAAAAGGGGTGGTGGGTAAAGGCGCGGCCCCCGCAATTGCCTGGCTCTCGCCACTGCTGGTAGAAGGCCCTCCCACTGGAGCGAGCGCCCATCTTGAGCTCCACGCCCGTCGCGAGATAATGGGAAAAAAGATTTACTTCGGACATCCGCAGCTAGCGGCGCACCACCCCTGTGCACAAGAGACGGTGTCGCAGGACCGCACCTAGTGCGCGGCCACTTCAACCACTCCAGGGACACACCTTGAACGTCGTCGTCATCATAATTATTAAATCATCATGCGGACTCCGGTCATCCTCGCGTCGGCTTTTGGTTGGCCATCGAAACGAAGTCGGTCACCGCGTCGCACGCTTTCAGATGTGCTTCTGCGGCCGTCTGGAACACTCCTTCATTCCGATATTAGGAATCATCTAGGTTGAAAAGTCACTTCTTTAGAACCGTTTTGGTGTTTAGTTTGTTGTCCTTCCGCCGCACCTCCGATTAGCGCGATTGGCTACGTACGGTGTGAAAGAATTTCAACGGCATGCATGCAGCATCATCATCTTCGCCGTGATCGATCCACTGCTGAATGAAGGCCTCAACCAGCAGTGGAATCTTGATTACTACCGCTACCGCCGCTGCTACTGTCCGTCTCCCCGCCAGCTCACAACCCACGTGAGCAGCAGCAGCAGCAGCGTGAACCCGTGGGCTGTGGAGGCTCGGCCCTGTCGCTCGATTAATAATTCAACTCAACTCGCCGCCAGCCTTCTTGCCGCCACCCCCCCCTCCCCACCGCTTCCCCCACACGCTGCCCACCCCCCCCCCACAACCGCCCCATTCCCCTCCCTGCCAGTCCCCCCCACACTGCCCACCAACCCAGCCCCTTTCAGTCAGGTGTAGACGAAACACACCTTGTCGGGACATCGACAGTGGTCGTCCTAATAAGTAAGGGGACACGAGTCGTCTAGGTTCATTAACAATCTCATAATCAATGAAAAGACCAATTTTTATTCCGCGGTCGATTAATTGGGCCCCTATAAAAACGGCAGCCGCCTGCCTCCCCATCCTGTCGCCCCGAAGGCGGGAAAGCCCCCCCCGCCAAACCCCCTCCAAACCTCCTCCCCCCCACCGCAGCTACCAGTCACGAGGTTGCCGACGACGCCAGACGACGTCGCAAAGCCCTGCCCGTCACTTCCCGTCCAGCGGCACACGTGGGAGGAGAGGCGAGACGTTTTCTAATAAATAGTTTGCGTGTCTCTCTCGCTCCGTGGTCGAGTGGATTTTTCTCCGGGTCCTCCCATTTTTCCCATCCACATTTAAAAATCATCACGCGTTCAGAGTAATTGGCTGCTGTGCATTGCCGCATGATAAGCCGTTTCGCTGAGCTATCATTTGTGATGACCAGGTCGCTTCTGAAAAAGAGCTATGCAGCTCAGCGAGGCCTTAGCTGGTTTGTAAAAAAAAAAAAAGGGGACTTCTGTCCCGGCATCCCTTCCCCATTCCGTTCTCCGTTTCCCATTCGTAACATCCTTGACGCTGCTCCCACTTCCCATTGCCGGGCCACTTACAAGAAGGTTTTTTTATTATCAAATATGGGGATTACACAGCCCGCGGGGTTAGGAGTCAGGAAGAGGGTGGGGGTAGGGTGGGGGTCGTTCGCTCGCTCCTCCGGCCCCCGCTCACCTGCGCCTCCTTCTCGTTGTACTTGCCCGGGTTCTTGGAGCCCTGGCTCTTCCTGCGCAGCTTCTTCAGCTCCGTCGTGTTCCTGTCGAGGACGTCACACTTCGCCTTGTGCTCCCCCTGGTACTTGCGCAGGGCCGACTGCAGGGCGAGAGGGAGCGGGGCACGCGGGCTGTTTTAACGGACGGGCGGGTGGAGGAGCGACGAGTGGGCGAGCGTTGGAACGGATGGGCGAATGGACGAGCGAGTGCGCGAGCGTATGAAAAGCTGGGCGAGCAAATCAAGTGATCAACAGTGGGGAGATAACCAGGTGGATGAGCAAGTGAGTGGATGGTGAGCGGTGGGGCACCCTGCACTACAAACCCATCTACACGAGTTAGATTACCGCTCAAAGCCAAACACCAGTGACGATTATCTGAATCGGTTCTGGGCCTCCCCTAGGTCGACTCAGCCTCAAATAAGTACCTGGTGCGGTGTGTAAACATCGCCACTGGGGAGACAAAGGTGGCCGAGCGTGGTGCTGGCCACCCACCGACTCTTGTGCCGTGCTCGCTAACAGCACTTGGCCAAACAGTCTGTTAAGGTGAAACGGGGAGCTTTGTCTTTCGGTGAGTGGGTGGGTGGGCAAGGGAATGTATTACGTGAGCGCACGACTAACAGAAATATTGCGAGTGACCAGGCGAGCAGTTTGGGGAAACATTCGATTAGGTGTGCGAGCGAGTGGCTGAAGGAAATAACTGGTGGGCAAGCGAGTGAGTCGGTGAGCGAGCAAGTGGGTGGGCAGGCAAAAAGGTGTGAGGGCGAGCTGGGGGGCCAAGTAAACGGCTGCACGGGTCAACATGTGAGCAAGGTGGGTCACGAGGTAACGGGAGGTCGTAAGGGCAATACTGACCGGCAAAAATTTGATGTCAGACTCGAGCTTCTGCTCCATGTCGGAGAGAATGTCTGTCCGGAATGACTTGAGCTGGACAGGACAACCAGATCATCATCACCAACACCATCGTCAACATTGTCAATGTCATCATTACCATAATCATGGTCATCGTCTTGTCATGATCATCGTCCGATGGCAATGGCTTTTATTATATCCCGGTAAGCTTCACCAAGTTCTAAAACTCCTTGTGAACAGGGATGTTGATCAACCCCAATCATTGATCACCGTTGTCATCAGTTATATCATCATTGTCACCATCATCGCCATGAGACTGATCATCTTCACAATCGTTGTCATCATCGTAATTATCGGTATTAAGCATCGTAATCACTGCCATCATCTTAAATCAACTACTGGCACAATCATCTCGATCACTGTCACAATCGGTCATCATTGACATTAACGCTGCTTGCTGTATGCATGTTGAACTCTCTTTCGCACCGTACGTAGCCAACCGTCGTGCGAATCGGAGGCGAGGGGAAAGTACATAAAACTAAACACAATGTCATCGTCTCATAACAATGAGCGTCTAGACAGCCCAACTGGGGTCATACACTCGGGAGGAAGCAAATGGATCGTTTCATTTTCCCCTTTCGCCCAGAATCTCCCCAGGACTTTCCCAGATCTCCCCAGATCTCTCCTTCTCACCGTTTCCTCCAACAAATGCAGGATCTGCTTTTGAGTCAATGCCATCTGCGTGATCGTGTCGCCTGCGGAGAAGAAATGGCAACACGGGGGGGGGGAGTTACAATCATCCCGCAGCCACAACTGCAGTCGCTCCACTCACCACGGTTCTCGTGCCAGACTAGGTGCACTCCGAGGCCATGTGGAGGTATCAAAGACTCGCTAGAAGGCGGTCAACGGACAGACCCAGGTCTTATTGGGTTGACTGACTGGCAAACACCACCACTCAACTCACAACTCACCAATCTCACTCGCAGCCAAATAACAACTCACATCTGTCAACAATACTGTAGCCTTCAAAAGGAATACAGTGAAGTTAACCAAGGCCCACTGAGCTATATAGCTGTTTCAGAAGCAACCTGGCCACAAATGATAGCTCAATTAAGTGGCTTATTGTGCGAAAATTTATAGCAGCCAAATACTTTGTGTGTGTGTGTGTGGTGGGGAGTGGTAGTGTAGCGGTTAGCGCGCTGCGCTACGAGCCCAACAATCCGAGTTCGATTTCACGAAAACTCTAAATATACAGCAGCAGGTGTCGGGGTCGAACCCACGACTTCCTGTATACCAGGCGAGGTAGTTACCGCCGCGCCACCGCGGTGAGATTACCGTATAATAGGCGACGTTTTCGCAATGGGCCTCCTATATTGCGCACAATTTAGGCGAATAGACTGTTGAAGCAGCTGCTATTCTGAGATGCTTATAAAACCGGACAGACAATGGACACGCAAACACAAAGATGCCCCCCCGCCAGCCTCACGGACAATACCGGGCACGTGGTGTTAGCGTGCATCCCTTGAATGCCAGCACGGTCCACACCCACAACACTACAACGACCACCGCCATTCCCCACTAAGTGGCGATGATGTCACACCCCCCCTCCCCCCACTGTGCTTGCGCGAGGCCATGTGCACTTTAGGGCTATCAGGTGAAGCGTGGCGGGCTCTCTCTGCTGGCAGGAGGTCACGGGACAGACCCAGGTGCCATGGGTTTGACCGACTAAGATGGCTGGCAGACGCACCACCTGTAACCGCCACGCTACCCCCCACGCTGTGCCAAATTTCAGTGCCATCCGCGCGACGCTCCGCTCGATGTTGTGAACATAAACAGCCTTCCACACACACATGCACTCGAACACATGAACAAAGACCCCCCCCCCCCCCACCGTATAGCCTTAACAATCTGTTGGGACAAGTGCTGGAAGCGAGTAGCGGCACCTATGAAGGTCGGCACGGCACACGAGGGGGTGGGTAACCAGCACCCCCCCCCCCGGCCGCCTTTGTCTCCCTGTTTTTTTACCCGCGTGTGTTTATGTGTGTAGTGCAGCGATCAGCGCGCTGTGCTTCGAACCTGGTGACCCGAGTTCAAATTACAACTCACGATCAACATCAGTGGCGAATATATCAACTTGTACTGGATCTACCCCTGTGACACCTCAGCCTCAAATGAGGACCTGGTGCATTGTGGGAAGAAAAAAAAACAACAGCACTGGGGAGACAAAGGCTGTCAAGGGGCATGGCGCTGTTCGCTAGCAGCACTTTCCCCAACAGTGAGGTTATTCGGGGGATCTTTGTCTTAGTGTGGCTGCAGACAGTGCGAGCACGTGTCACTGCGATGACAACTTGTGCGAGCCTCATTTCAGAATTCCGCGGGCTCTTGTGAATTCCCATCTGCCGGTTTTCGCTCGGCGATGTTTTAAGAGCATCAGAGCCACTGCGGGGCAATGGCTGTCTCCTACACACAGCTCCCGCATTACACAAACACACACGCACATCTCTACATATGATTATCCACGTGTGTGTAAAACCATGCATAGCTGTGTGTGTGTGTGCGCGCGCACGTGCGGAAGCGGCGGTATATTGGGTACCGCAAGTCCCACCAACACAGGTTCCATGCCTGGCCCTAGTGATGCACTCCCCATTCCCAGTGGCACATGGTATCGAAATCTGGCTCGGGCCTACTGTAGGTCATCTCGGCCATAAATCCGTACCCGATGTGGTGTGCGTGGACATGAACAACGGGAGACATCGCCAGATTTTTGGGGCGCTTGCCCCAAAAAGTCCGTTTAGGCTATACGGGGGGGGGTCTTTGTCTGCGGGGGGGGGGGGGGGGGTGTATCGGGTCACGCGTTGGGCAACGACGAGACGATCACCGAATGAAAGTCACGAGACTCTCTCGCGTGCAAACGAGCGCCAGGATAACGCGAGAAGGCCCCGCAGAGTCTCCCCAAGGGTCACACGAACGAGAGGGGGAGTCAGCTGTCATGAGTGGGGGCTGTCGCTTAGCGGCTTCTTATTTACAACTTTACTTGAGTGTACGTCTATATCCTGTGTGTGTGCAGTCTGTGTCTATAGACTGTGCGTAGAGTGTGGGGATTGCCCGCCACGCCATGAACCCAAGTTAGATTTCGCGTTTCACGACCACCAACACCGGTGACGATTATCTGAACCGGTCCTGGGTCGCCCCTAGGTCGACTCAGCCTCAAATGAGTACATGCTGTGGTGTGTAAACATCGCCACTGGAGAGACAAAGGCGGCCGGGTGCGGTGTTGGCCACCCACAATCTCGTGTGCCGTGCCGGCGGCCTTCATAGGTGCTCGCCAAAAGCACTTGCCCCAACAGTCTGTTAAGGGGGATCTTTGTCGTGGCTACAGTGTGCAAGTGTCCATAGCCTGTGTGTACGTAGTGTCTACGTGAGTATCTGTATCTAGTTTGCTTGTGCCCATTATCAGTGTGTGTGGAGTTTGTGTCGCCTGTGTCTATAGTCTGCGGCTAGCCTGTGGGCGTGTCTAATCTCAGTCTGTCAGTGAACGTGCAGACCAAATGTCCATCTCTGTCCACCTGTCTGCGGTTCATCTCACAAGAGTCCATCTGTGCACCACGCGACGGTTTCGGCTGCAGCGCCGTCCGTTGCCGACCGCGCGGACCCGCAGGCCGCGACACCTTTTGTGCCATCGCCCACCCAAGAACATGATCTCCCGGGCCTCCACAAGCGTGCCGAGGACCCGAGGTCGAACGGGAGGGGACGCATTCCGGCCGACGCGGTCACAGCCGACGATACGTCGCGTCAAGCTCTCGCTCTGACCACGCAAGTGACGGAGTCCTTTGCGTGGGAGGACGGACAGACGGACGGGTAGATTGAACACTTTCCTGGGCATCGTAGGAATAAACCGCCACCCTCCCCAAACAAAGCGGTCCCTTGGCCTAACCACTGGGAGGAGGGGGGGGGGTACTCGTCTGACGGGTCAAAGGTCAAGGATTTGAATTTAACTTTTCAGGACCCCCCCCCCCCGCTGCGTTCGTAATTAATAATTAGACCAGGTTCCTTTGAAAGTGGCGGCGGCAGTTGTCATCCGTTAAACCCTGACCGCCGTGTGTGGGGTTCTAACGGAGAGGTTGTGGATATCTACGGTGGGGGGTGGGGGCATTCATCCTGCACACGGAGGATGTACGAGCGCAGGCCAAGAACGTTCATTTTATTTCACAAAGGGAGGCGCAAACTCAAAGAGACCAGGATCGAGTTTCATTTCCAAGAGTGACATGGGCCACCAATATACGACAAAAGCAGGAAAATATAATAGGGTACAAGCAGTGAAGCAAATAGAAATCAGAACAAAATCAAGCCATCAGAACAAGTCCCTGCCATGGCTACAGTTTTTTTTCTAATAGGGTGGAGTAGTGGTACAGCGGTTAGCGCACTGCACCATGAACCTAGGGACACAAAGTTGTATTCCTGGCAACGACTGAGATCTTAATCGGGCCGGGCCAGCGAAGTGGCGTATGATCAAGCGTGTCCAAACAGCCGCCACGACCGACAACGCCTTGGGGGAGGGGGGGGGGGGGATGCCTTCAACATCCAGCAGCGGATTTACAAAACGGCTGCTATTTACATTTCTTAATTACTGCACGTTTTTTTTATCCGTACATTATATATATCCACCTGCAAATGTGTCATAGCGCGTTTGGGCAAGCCCACTGGCGCGCGTTGGTAGACTATGTATCAGAGGCAGCACCTCCCACCCCTTTGGGCGTAGGTCCCTGGGTGTAGAACCCAAGAGCCCCCCACAGCCCGGATACGGACCCATGACCTCATTTCATAGGGCCCCCAGTCGCACGAGAATGCCGCCACTTTGAAATGGCGCCCGCTAAAATAACCACGTTAATCCGTGTCACCGCACAAGCATCTAAGGGCCGCGGCTAATCGGGTACCCGCGGGCAACAATTTTTTGATGACCCTGCAAGCAACAGCGCTGACCGAGTTGAGTGCCGGCGGGTTCAACTGGTCGCCTTTCAAGTTCCTTCGAGCGCGCAGCGATCGGTGCTGGGCAGCCCGAGCGTGATCAGTGTCTCGGAGAGAGACGTTCGAAAATCCTATTTGGCCTGCAACGCTGAAAATTCTCCACACCCATCGGCTTAGAGAGTAAACGGTAAGCTGCCAACCCCACGGGCAAGCCCAGCACAATCCACACCGCATACAGAGACAAAGATCCCCCGTATAGCCTTCAACAGACTGCTTGGCCAAGTGCTGTTACCGAGCACCTATGAAGGCTGGCAAGGCACACGAGGGGGGGTGGGGTGGGTGGCCGCAGCACCATGCCCGGCCGCCTTTGTCTCCCCAGTGGTCGATGTTTACACACCGCGCCAGGTACTCATTTGAGGCCGAGTCGACCTAAGGGAGGCCCATGACCGGCTTCAGGTAATCGCCACTGGTGATGGCCGCCGTGAGCGTGAAATCGAACTCATGTCGGCGGGTTCGTAGACGCAGTGGGCCAACCACTGTGCCACCGCTCCCTTTACACACACACGCACGCCCCCACGGATACCGTGACCAGGGCATGCTGACACGCGTGCGCTCGCGGGGACGAGTGCGGATTGACTTGGAGACTAGTGGAGAGGGTAAGCGAAAGAGGGATGATGGAGTAGAAGTTGAGTGGGGTGATGGCGGTGGAGTAGTGGGTGGGGGGGGGGGGGTTAGGAAGGGTGGCGGTGATGATGACGCGGGGTATGGGTTGGGGGGCAGGGTGGGGAGG